CAAAACAGAGGGCTCGTCGCGGAGTAACACCCCTCCTCCCCCCCCCCCCCTTTTCCATTCCCCCCCCCCCCCCCCCCCCGTCTCTCTCCGTCCTCCTTTCCAAACGTCCAGTTGACCTCCTCTCCATCCCAGAGACCAGCCCCATCCCACCTCACTGCATCCTACCGCACCACTCCTCCCCACTACACTTCGTTTTCCCCTCCTCTCCCCTCTTCTCCTCTCTCATCTCCTCGTTTGCAGGTGGAGCTGCTCTGCAACGTTGGAGGAGCGGCCATTCTCGAAGCCAAGGACGACGAGGGCTGGAATGTGCTGCACTGGCTGACGGAGGGGAAGATGGGGGAGGCAGAGGCGGAGGACTGGAACACGCGGGTCAACCTGGCCAACAAGAAGGAGTGCGCGAGCTTTCTCTGCCGGGCGTCTCCTGCTCTCCTCTGGGAGCGAGAGCCACTGGAAGGGCGCACGTGCATGCACCTTGCATGCGCCAGCGGCCACCTGGACATGGTTGCCCTCCTGTTTGCAGAGGCAGGCAGGCCGATGCTGCTGGAGCGAGACATCAAGGGCAGGACATGCCTGCACTCGGCAGCGTGGGAAGACAAGCTTGAGGTGATCCGATACCTGTGGGACATCGGAGGAGAGGACTTGCTCTTTCTCACGGACGAGACGGGGATGACCTGTGCCCACTACGCGGTGCTGAACAGCAGGAGGAACTCCGACGAGACTGACGAGTTGGAGGCGGAGACGGATGGTCTGGAAGGCAATCATGCGGAGAATGACGAGGCGGGACAAGCGAGTTCAGAAGACGAGGAAGAGAAGGACAAGAGAGCTGAGGAAGGCTTCTCGCTGCTGGATGCTACGATGAGCGTCAGCCTTCAATCCTCAATGATACATGCTGCTGCAGAGACGGAAGTGCTCCGTTTCCTGCTCAGCGTGGGCAAGCGAAAGCTGCTGGAGATGAAAGACAACGAAGGCAACACCGTGCTGGACATCGCGATAGCTAATGACCTGGGCGACTGCCAGGACATCATCGAGAAAGCGTTCAAGCGTAACACGTAGAGTAAAGGATAAGAGGGAGAGGAGGACGTCAAGGAAGGGACAGAGGTGGAGGAGTGTGGAGGAGCGCAAAGAGATGATGTATGTATGAATAAAGTTCAGATGTCTATAGGAGTCTTGTAGGGAGCCATGCCCTTTGTTAGCCTTGTCAAGTTCAGCTTCTCCTGTAGTATCTGTTTCCATACTTCCGAGTCCTCTCCCAAATTCTGCATGCCGGGGATGTCACAGGTCGAGAGAAGGTTGAAGATCGGGAACGGCAAGGAATAGCATCTACCTCAGTCTGCTTCCTGCACCATAGCTCGTTCAGTCGCTTCCTCGTCTCCTCCAACTCATTCGCATTCAGAGTTCGGTGCCGCAACGTTCTCGCTGCATCCCTGCCGGCACTCCATGAGATCATCGGCATCATTGACAGCAGCACTGGCTCACCTGATCCTCTTAGAGCACACAGAGCACGTGCAGTCGTCTCGATGCATGAGCATGGTTGGCGTCCATTCGTAGTGCTCCCTCCTCTCCTGCCAGAACGCGGTCACCTTTCAGCATCATCCATAAGGCTACGCACTTCAATGGTGAGGACGCTCTTCCTTACGATCTGCACCTTTCCCTCCCTCTTCTCATAGACGGCTTCGTTCTTTTTCCTTTCTCGTCTTCCTGCACTCAATGATCTTGCCATCTTGAGCTGTTGTAGCTGGACCATTCTCAGCGCTCTTTGCCTCAAGTTGCAAGATTGTCAGTTCACCTCAATGCTGAGCGATTCTTTCTGAGAGTCGGCATAAAGCGCCTTCACGCTGGCTTCTCGCTCTTGAAACCACCTTGCAACAACAGCTGCTGTGTCCTCACTCTCAGCCCTCTTAATGTCCCTTCGCCCCCCTGAGTATTTGTAGTTGAGCAATCATATTTCTGCTCCCTCCTAGTGTCACCTGACTCTTTCCATTCATATTTCTTGGTAGCAGGACTAATCTTCTTGCTGCCCGAGGTCCCCGCAAACGATCGTACGCCCGAATACACCGATTGTGCTCCATCGTCTCCAAGCCCAAGTCCAAGATTAGCGAACAAAGACCCCAGGCCAAGGTCTAGCCTGTGAGATATTCCTCACTGAATGACGCCAGCATCTGAGTCTTCCCCTCTCTCTCTCTCTCTGCTCTTCTCCCGGCTCTCTCCCTCCCCTCCCGGCGAGCTTCGGAGTCCTCCCCCTTCCCCTCCCCCTCCCCCTCTCCCTCTCCTCAGTCTTTCCCCCGCTCAGCCTCTCCCAGCCTGCTCTCTTCGTCATCCAACTGATCAGTCCCTCACTTACCTGCTCTCGTCAACAGCCATGATCACCGGAGGGCAGCGCGGTCAAATTGATCGGTCTGCTGTAACGGTTTGTTGTGACCGTTGAAGGATGCCTGGTGCTCTCGTAACTGTCAGGGATTTCATCAAACCGTAGTAATACCCCCACTCCCCCGCTTCTCTTTCCTAGCTGCCCTCAGGTACACAACGACTTCAATTTTAGGTCATCGAGGGGGGTGGGGGCTCAGTTCGGACTCCACGGGTTAATTTCACATGTTGACGTCCTCGGAGGGGGTGGGTAGGGTGCTGTCGTGCCGAGGAGGTACGGGTAGAAAACTAAAAAGGAAAAAAAAGTACACTTTCAGTGCTCGGGTACTAGTACCCCTATTTCCGACGAGAGAAAAGGGGGTGAAACATCAAAAACAACCAGGGCGGTAGTCAAGGGGTACATCCCAACCCTTTACACTTCCACCCCCAAAAATGAGATATAATATTTTAAACTATTTTATACATGTAGATAGTACAGGCTGCATTTATGTATAAAACTATTGTAAACGTTTAGATCGGGGGGCAAGATAAAATCTGGTTGTAATGATTTGAACGTGACCCAGTTGTTTTTCAAAATGGACAATCCCAATTCCGAACCAGGGCCGAACCATTAATTTTATATCATTTTAAATACTTTTAGTTGCGCATAATATGGTGCAAAATCAGGTAGATGTTTTTTTTAATTGAAAGGGGGTGGTAAGAAAACTGAACAAGTGAGGAATGTCTGGGGTGGGTGCTGCAAATTCTGGGGTACTGGAAATGAATTCCTTTTGTGTACCACTAGGAGTTCACCATGCAAGTTTTTCCTATATAAATACCTATGATTATTCTCATCTACACTAATTAGCATAGAAAAGTTATGAATTGAATGCAATCAGACGGGGTGGGTAGCAGAGGGTTCAGAGGAGCCAGTGGTGTTGGGGTACCATTTTGGACGATCGGGTAGGGTAGGTCGGCAGAAGCAGAGCGGACGAATCATGGTGAGGCTTTGAAGAGACGCGTAAGGATAACTGATGCGAGGAGGAGGGGGGGGGAAAGTGAACAAGGAGGTAAACAATGTATTGACGAGAAGCGACATCCCTGCAACATGATATGAAGTGTTGAATTGACCAAACATTGGAAAAGCAATGGTGGGGACAGACAGGTGGCAAGAGGCAGCAGGAAATGTTCGTATCCATTGTGAAATCGAGGAATGCACAAAGGGAAGTAGATGAGAGAGAAATTGACGCATACAGACGTGCAATTGTAGAAGGCAATGACAGGATGCATGGGTATAGATTCCAATTGCATCCCAACGGTCATAAAGAATTGGGGGAGGGGGGGGGGGGGGAGCGGGTTGCGGAGTTCGGTTGTTCAGACGATGGAGTTGGGAAGAGATTAGTAAGCCTTTGCTGCATTTTGCATTGCAAACCAATCATCCTCCGTATTGTGATGGAGATGCGCGATCTCTTTTGCTGGCATGTCTAAATTGTTGGCACCTGTCTGCCGTTCCTGTGCCACCTGTCCTTCCTGCGCTCTTGTCACTGCTTGTGGCTTGTGTCGGGGTCTGATAAGCTCTCGACTTGTTACAGAGCTACGCATCTGTTCAGCAGTTTGCTCACCAGGAGGCTGCTAAGGCCATGGCGAGGCGCACCGAATGGGATTTTCAGACCATGGTGAGGGAGTTGATTTGGCAACACTTTCTTTATCTAACATGGGCAAATTGCAGCTGAAGCACATGCCTTCTTGTGCAAAGAGTGGAGCATTTGGTTGTGGTGGCCGTGACTACAGCAGTGATTATGGACACGTGCACCAGGTTTGAAATCACTTCCAGTCCCTTGTTGCATGCCTAAATATTATGTCAGGGTCACGCGGTAGTGTTCATCTGAGCCTAAGTTTAGAGTTGCCATGTATAGTATGTGTATTCAAGCACGCTCCTGTGCAAACTTAGGAACATTTAACCACAGCTGGAACGAAATTAAAACTGTTTCTTTGTCTCTTCCTTCCCCAATCACGTTCTCAACCTGACTGATGAAAATGGAAAAAAACCATTCCTGTCTTGCAGGAATTGGACTCACTTCTTCTTCGGTTTGCTTGCTTTCTTATTCCACCATTCAGTATCTTCCTCTTCTTCTCCCTGCAGTGTTCATTCCGAGTGAGTGCAGTAGCTATGAAATGTGAGAATCGGCACCTGCTGCTGTTGAGGGGCAGGTCGCTTCTTTCCCGGCTGCAGAGCTCGCTCTGATGAACAAGAGTGAGCCGGAACAAACGCAGCAGGGATTCTCCCACCTTGCCATTCACTTTTCATAAGCTTCACTGGACGATTTCCGACATATTTCCCTACAGGCGAATCAGGTATTCAGAAAACAAATTCTTCCTTCACCTTGCATCTCCTTCATCGCTCTCGTAAAATCTGCAGGATCCGCGAATGACACGAATCCGTAACCCTGAAATTTCTTAGTTTAGTCTGCTAAGCCAACGGGTTCTGCAATCCAGCATCATCAACCTTCGACTTGCTTGTACGGCCATCGCGCACAACCTTTGCCTTTTGAAACGATGAATACTTTCCGAAACTTCTTGCCAGGGTCGAGTCATCGACCTAGCAGTCAAAAATCTTTTTCATTCAATTTCCAGGCACAGCATCTCGTACCTCATTTCCGAGATTCCCGCAGAACATTCGATAGTCATCCTTCGGCCACTCCAAAAGCGACGCGTCCGACCATTTCTTACCTCCCGCCGACCTCATGATTGTGTCCGGTATTCCTGGTTGACATCATTTCAGCTCCGCCACATGTCGTTCCATCTCAAACCAGGCATCTTTGAGTTAGCGCCTCCTGAGATGGCGGGCGGAGCAATGGAGGAGCCATATGTCTGGAAGAGATTAGCTCCACAGGTCTGAGCTACACCAACAGGTCCTGCGCACCTGGAATGAATTTGGCGCAGGATTCGCTTGATAACTGAGATTCAAGCTCTGAAAGGGATCTCAAAAGGATCGCAAGGCATCAAGTGAAGCGACGCACCGGTTGGAAGAGCGTTGTCACGCCCGACGATCGAGAAGCAACAGTGGGCATCAGCTCATCGTCGTAGTTCTTGACAGGTGCTGCTGCATACTGGATCCTGAGTAGGGAAGTTGTTATCCTGGATGTGGAATCAAAAAGAACCCCTCACTTTGGCTTCTTTGCAGTTGTGGTCTCAGATCCTCCGGGTTTTGCTAAACTGCGAGTGAGAAGGTTGCAAGCATGTTCTCAATGCGCACACCTGAGGACGAGCTCGTCTCAGCTGGTTTCTGAGATTCTAAGGATTCAATCTCCTAATGAAGAAGTGAGTCTCTCATGTGGAAACTCGGGTCCTACCTTCTCAAACAGGGCAAGCTCGTCGTCCAGGTGGTCACCCATCTAGCAAGGGGAAACGAGTGAGGAGAAGAATGATTGGTATAGATAATGTGAAAAGCCTGGTCCCTCTCAATGTGCCAATCAACCTATTCTCATCATTGAATATCCGATTGCTGTCTCAGAAATTCCAAAAACCAATCAGATCCTGCTCATCACACTACCTGGAAATGAACTTCAAAGTTGATTGCGATGTGTGCAATCTGAACTGAGAATTCTGATAAGATTTATCCATCAAATCTCTGATCCGTTCTACCTTGATTTGAACACATCATCATCTATACTGCAACCTTGCCCTTCTTACGCTTCACAGTAGAGCTTCTGGCATGTCTCTAGTATCATACAACTATCCTCATGGCAGCATGTGCGTCCCTTGGCTCTCACTCCCCACCCTCGCCCCACTCGCTCGTCCTGCTCGCTCGCTTCTGCGACATTCGAGCGATCTTGATGCCCCTCATACAGGCAGTAAGCTGAGTTGCTCAGGGCAGGCCCGGCCCGCGCCGCCGGCGGGCAGTCCGAGTCCGACGGCGCGGCCGCTCCGAGGCTCGGCCCGGAGCCCGGGCCGCGCCCCGGGCCCGGCACTGGCATGATCCGAGTGAGTCACATCCGACAGGCCCATGATCTCATAATTTGGCATCGGAACTTTGCAGCTTGCCCCGCACGGTCACTGGCGAGTCTCGGGCGGCTGCGCCCGGGCGGCGGCCGCCCGGCGGCCCGGCGCTGCCCGGCCCCGGCGGGCCGCGGGTGACTCGCCCTCAGCCTGGCACTGCACTGGGGCTTCGGACCTACTAGCTGAGGCTAACTTCCGGGCGATTCTGGGCCCGGGGGCCCGCCGGCTGACGGTTGATCCGCTGAGTCCGCGGCGCCGGGCGCCGCGGATAACCTTTTTACTCAAAGTTAAGTTAAAAATCAGTACGAGGACAATCAGGAGGATCGATAACCCGGCAACCGCAAACACCGTCGGTAGGCGTCACTTTGATTCCCGGACCTCGGAGCGGCAGTTCACAAAAACAAAAAAGAGCCGGGAGGTCGGCCCAGCCCGGCAAGCTCAATGCCAAGTTGAGCGGAAGTAAAAGAAAGGGCGACACCTGACCTGGGACTTGAACCCAGAACCTTTGGATTAGAAGTCCAACGCGCTGTCCATTGCGCCAGCCAAGCCCAAGCCCGTACCGATCGTGCAACAAGAGAGTATATATAGACTGTACTGAGGGGGTAGGGTAGGGAGTTTCTTGTATACATGGGTGGGGTGATTGAAAATGAGGTGGTAGGGGTAGAAGCAAAATTACCAATTTCAGTGAGGGTGAGCACGATGGGGTGGTATGTGACAAGGGTGCAGATTTGGTGAGGGGGTAGTAGCTGAGGTGTGGAGGGTGGCCGGACGAGTGAACGGGAAGGGACAAAGGAAGCAGGGGGAGGAGAGGAGAGGCAGGAAGCAAGGATGGACTCTATGGGCATCTACTTCCCTACTTGCAATGGCATCGAGGTGATAATGATCCTGCTCCTCTCCTCGCTGCAGCCTGAAACATGTGTCTGCAGATGGTCATGGACTTTATGGGACAGGTTTGCAATGGCCGTGGCCGGAGGTAATAGTTTGACGTTTGCAATGCAGCAAATCGCGGAGGAAGTGGCAGAGATGAATTCGATGGCAGCGCAACAGTCTGTTCATCCTCAGCTGGTGAGAGGTTCAGCTTATTGAAGGTTTCAGCTGAATTCTTGTAGGCGCCTATCCCCGTCCATGCAGGGGTTGAGGTAGTAAGTCTTAAGCGATAGGGGCAAGATGTTCTGATATCCTGCGAGTAGATCGCTCCTGGAACTCAGACAGTCCGAGCATCACCTAGTCAAGCCCTCCTTTGCCTGCATGCCTGTATCTTCGGTGCCGTCTCTGCAACAAGCCAGTTGAATGATACGGTGAAGACAAAGTGCAGTCAGGTCAAGAAACTGAAATGTTCGATGTCTAGAACTCGGCATCAGACTCTCTTGCCGAGTGGCAAGCAAATTTTTCCAAGCACAGTCAGGTATCCGTCTTAGCGGGTGTGCTGTCTTGATGTTGATCGCCTCATGGCAGGAGGCGGCGTCCAGCATGAGCCCGCTCAGCGCTTACTTCTTATCGCGCTTCATGTTCCCCTCTGTGATGTGCAGTTCCTCTCTTTGCTCCCCTTGACCAACTTGCAGAGGGAGAAGTCCGCGATTCTGCCTGAGAACCTCGAACAAGGACCCTCGTCAACCACCATCCGTCATACGACAGCTTCATCTCAACTCTGAGAGCTGACTCAAAGGACACAATCTACGACAACTTCCCTAGCATGCTTTAATGCTCTTGCGAGTAAACGACGTCAGGGGTACAAGTCGGCAGAGTCACAAAACCCTCGCGCCATGCTCAGCGCTCAGGCAAAAGGGTTCGGGTATTTGGGCGCAGGAAATTCGGCGGTTGGCTTCATGGCGGGGAAGAGGAGAACCTGCCGAGGAGTTAAGGCCGGGAGCAGAGGACAAGCAAACTGACCTCCTTGATGTTGTTGGAATCGGTCATGAACATCACAAGACGGTCAATGCCGAGACCCCAACCTCCAGTGGGAGGGAGACCGTACTACACGTTTGCGTCAGGTCAAGGCAGCCCCTTCTCACAGCCCGCTCACCTCGAGAGCATTGAGGAAGGTCTCGTCCTTGAACATGGCCTCGTCGTCACCAGAGGCCTTGTCCTTGGCCTGTTGCACATCAGGCAGCTGCCAGCCATAGCACCTGATCTCGTACCTGAGCGTCAAACCGTTCTCTCTGCACGAACGGATCGTTCAACTCCGTGTATGCATTGCAGAGCTCCTTGCCTAGTCCGTCGTCAACCCAGAAGAGCATCGCGCGCGGCTCAACTCACCGCAGACGAACAGCTCGAACCTCTCAGTGAGGCTGGGGATGGAACGATGATACTTTGCCAGAGGAGACATGATCTCAGGGTGGTCGCAGAGGAAGGTTGGTGAATTGAAGGACGGCTCCAGGTACTCTCCGACCAGCTTGTCGATCAATCTCGCGGTGGTGCGAGGAGGAGGACACAAGACCTCGCCAAGCTGCAGTGCTGATGAGTTCGAGCATTTCCAACCGGGCACGTCTCACCTCCTTCTCCTTCTCGGCACAGAGCTTGTCCAAAAACTGTCTGCACTCCTCTGACGAGTAATCGGCTGAAAACCAAGTCACAATTCCCGCCTTCCCTCCTTCTCATGTCACTTCCACCTGGGATCTTCACCCCGAGCACTTCCTCCAACCCAGAGATCATGGAAACCCTCCTGAAGGGCGGAGTGAAGTCCATATCCATCACCCTCTCCGTGCCAGGGCCATCGGGGTGGTACTGAATCTGTTGGAGTAGATGAGAAGAAATTTCAACCTGCGAGGGTCCAAACCTTGTAGGTGCCGTGCAATTCCATGACCAGTCCAGACCTGCAAGACAGCACACCCATCAGCAAAGAAACCTTGTCCAGAGCAACGTACAAGAATTCCTCAGTCAACTTCATGAGGTCGTTGTAATCGGCATATGCCTGATAGAACTCGCAGGTCGTGAACTCGGGGTTGTGAGTCAAATCGATGCCCTCATTGCGGAACTGTCTGCCTATCTCATATACCCGATCCAATCCACCAATGACAAGCATTTTCAAGTACAGCTCAGGAGCAATGCGCATGTAGAGACGCATGTCCAACTCATTGTGATGGGTGATGAATGGACGTGCGGTAGCTCCTCCGGGGATCATGTTCATCATCGGGGTCTCGACCTCGACGAAGTTGCGCATGTCAAGGTATCTGCGGAGATAATTGATGATCTTTGATCTGGTGATGAAGATGTTGCGAACGTTGCCGTTCACTATCATGTCAAGGTATCGCTGACTGTGAACAAGATGTGAATCTATCGGTCACGGCTTGCACACTGACACACACCGATATCTTGTTTCTTGCTCCTTCAAGCTGCCATCCACCTTGGGCAACATGTGCAAGCAAGCCGAGAGGAGTTGAACCTGATGAAGGCGTGATGAGACAAGGCGAGAACGAAGGAAACGTTTGCCTTGATGGGGAAGATAGACAACTCCCCTTTCTTGCTCTTGCCAGGATGACCGACAACTCCAATCACATCTCCACGCTTGAGATTTCTGAACACCGAGACTCATCAAAACAGCTGATGTTGATGTTGTTTCTTATACCTGTGAGCTTCCATGAAGTCGCCATCGGAATGCGTCTTGGCATCGGCCATGATCTTTGTCGCTCTCAGTTAGCACATTATGTGCAGTGACGACAACATCTCGATCACCTGGACTTTCGCGCCATCTCCTCTCAGATCGTAGAAGATCAAGCTTTGGCCAGACTGTCTCTTGCTCCAAATCCTTCCGGCCAAGCTGTACCAAATAATCAACATCCTGACAATCGCACAAGATTCTGCTGCTAGTTCACCTCACGATCGTATTCGTGTCATGCTCTCCCTCGTTCATGGACTCGAACTTGCTACGGTATTCAGGGAGCGACATGTCCACCTGCATTCAAGTGTTACCATGCTTCTCCCCTGCTTCCGCCGCATTCACCTGGAACTTGTGCGGGTACGGGTTGCCATCCCCTTGCTTCTGACTGAGAACCCACTTGCTCCTGGCATGACGTCAGCACATGACACAACGTGTGTAACAATATCACCTGTTCTCGAAGTACATGGTTGGATCCAACTCCTCTTCATCGTTGGCCTGAAAACGCAATAATGCGTGAGTTGGGGAATATCAACGCCTCCTTTTGCTGTTTCCCCAGCACAATCAACGAGGTACCTTGGGCTTGGCAGAAGTTCCGGCTTCAGCAGCCTTAGCAGCCTTCAAGCACGTCAGAATGATTGCTTCGTGTCCCTTGTTTCACCTTGGCGGCTTCCTTGGCTGCTTTCTCCTCTGCAAGCTTCTTCTGCTTCTCAAGCTTCTTCAAGGCATTCTTGGAAAGGGTCTGGAAAGCGAAAAATGGTCGTCACTACCATCTGATTAGAGCACATGATGATGTGAACAAGTGGAACACGATTGTAAGAGGCTGGAACGCGGAGGTGTAAAGGCGGCTTTGTTGCTGGAAAGGGCAGCGGCACCTCCTAAAGATGCGGTCGAACAAGAGAGAAGACAAGTGAAGCAAGACAAGAAACTCCGCGTAAGGAAGGTGGAGATGTCTGAGGAGTCAGAGCACGAGGTTTGCTGACCTGTCCCTCTTCTCCCGTTGGCTCTGCTCCTGCATCCTTCGCCTCGACGTCCGCCATTTCAGCACGCACGTGGCTTCATCCGTTGTCGCTCTTAAGTGTGTGATGTAACGGCCGGGCTCGGGGCCCCCGGGCCCCGGCCGGGCCGCGCGCCGGGCACCGCCGTTCTGGCAACGCCCGGCCGTCACGTGACTCAGGCTTTGTGACGACGGTCCGACCGCCCGGCCCGGCAGCCCGTCTGAGTGATCCGGGCCTCCCGCCGCTGCCGGGCGGCCGCACGGCACCGTCAGCATCATGATGGCACCGCCGATGCCTTAGTCAGACGGTCGGGCGGCCCGCCGGGACTCCCTCGCGGACGGTGACCGTACGGTCGGACGCCGGTCGAACCGTGTCCAATCGAACCGCGGCGTCAGACCGTAGTGGTGACCGCCGAGGGTCCGACACTGCGGAGTGAGCGGCTGACTCGGTCCGGCGACCACACCGGGTGCCGGGCACCGGGCCGCAGTGACTCGCCTAAGTGACCCGGTGGGTCGGGGAGCCTCGGAGTTCCGGACTCGGATCGTCACGCTCGGAGCCGGCCCCGGGCGGCCGGGCCGCGGCCCGGCCGGGCCTTCTGATGGATCGGATCGTATGCCAGCCCTTAGCAAGACGCCGCTAGCCTAGTAGGACTGAGGCCTCCTGAGTCAAGTCACTGAGTATTTCGGAGGCTCAGACTGAGCCGCGAGTCAATCCAGCGGAAGCCTCTCAGGTGACCGGCGGCGGCCCTGACTCTGTGGCTGGTCCGGCCCGGGCCGACGATCGGCCCGCCAGTCACAAGGCCGCCGGGCCGCGCTCGCGGCCCGGCCCGGCTGCTGCCCGGCGGGCCTGAGCCTATTCTGGTCTACCTTCATCCGCGGTACACCTAACGGTTCAAGCAACGAAATGCTCTACCATCAAGGGAGGGAGGGAGGGAGGGAGGGAGGGAGGGAGGGAGGGAGGGAGTGCATGAAATGAGATTAGATTGGAGGGGATGGAGGGAAGTTGAGGAGAAGGAAATCTAGTGCAAGTGCAGGAACTGATCCCAGTGGATTGATTGGGTGATGGACCAACCTTTCCGCTCTTGAATCTGCTGTGGTGTTTCCAATTTTCATGATTGCGTACAGGAAATGGCAGCTGCTGAAGCTCGCACAGAGCTCAGGAACACGTTCAGACCTCCACTGCCTCAAGGTGGGCAAGTTGAGCAGGCAAGCAGATCACTGCGATCCATTCCCAGGTGAACCGACTAGGATGAGATGCAAGTTGGTTTTTAACAAGTGTACGAAGGGACATGAACATCTACAAGAAGGCAAAACCACAGAAACTACCAGCCATTGAGGTGTTGGCACCAATTTTACTATCCAACCATCACTGCCTGATTGGTCTGAGCTTACGTACTCTACTCATTCAGGGACAAAACGCTTGCTCGTTTGGGATCCTGCAAAAGTACTACACGATAAATCCGAATGCTCCGGTATCGGGTGCATCTGTTGGATGCAGCTCTTGATGTTCTAGTGCAGATCGACTGGAGGAATGGTCTTGACATGAGAACTTTGTACCCTGCGCAGGAACTTAAGCCCGACAGGAGATGCTGACTGTCACTGACTTGTGGGGTGCAGAGTGCCGACTATTTGCGTCCTCGGGCTTGGAACACGTGAGGACTGATGTGGCACGTTGGCTGAATGTCGACTTTACACCTTCTTCCCAGCTTTGAAACCAACGAGCACTGTGTCCGCCCCTACTACGAGGTGACCAGCGAGAGAAAGTCGGTGCTGGTTTGACATGTGTCGTCAGGGTGCCTTGAAAGAGCAGCTGCGCCATGGTACGGGAAAATGTGCATTCAGGTATGATACCAGACGCTGTGCAGGAGTTGAGCTGAGATGTCCCTTGTTCGCCTTCCAGAAATCGCTACTTCAACTACGAAGGGGAATGGGGTGGAGGGCTATTCCATGGTCATGGCAGGGTGGGGCTCGATGTGCGGGACAAGTGATGAAGTCTGACTCTTGACCTTGAAGCTGATGATCGGGGATGGATTCTATGAAGGAGAGTTTGTGAATGGAGAGATCAGTGGCTCGGGGGTCAGGTACTTCACCTTCATGGTAAGCAGATGGAACAAGGTGGCTGATGGATGCTGCAGACAGTGGGCGGATGGGAGTACATACACGGGTCAATTCTTGAACGGAGAACACCATGGGCAGGTTAACGTTTGTTTCTTGTTTTGTGTGAGAAAATAGTTGAATTGCTGCTGCTCTGCTGTTGCTGTTGCTGTTGCTGTTGCTGTTGCTGTTGCTGTTGCTGTTGCTGTTGCTGTTGCTGTTGCTGTTCTGGTGTTGTTTGTGGTGGTGGTGGTGGTGGTGGTGGTGCAATCCACGAACGTCAAGTTTATATGACGATTTCTTGAACTTAGGGGCTCTTCTTGCATTCCAATGGCGATCGCTACGAAGGAGGATTCCTCAACAATCAGGTAGGGAGATGTAAAGTTATCCTCCCCACACAATGAGACGCGTGAAACAGCGATCCGGACATGGCGTGCTTGTGCTGGCCGACGGTGCTTCAACTATAAGCGCGATGCTTCTTTGCGCAAATGAAGTGACTGGCAGGCTCTCGGTACGAGGGAAACTTCGAGGAGCACAGGTGCTGCATGGCCGTATCGCCGCGGAGATGCTGAGGCTGCAGGAAGGTTGAACGGAACGGGGACTATGGAGCACAGCAACGGCGACCGTTACGAGGGTAATGGAAGTTGAAGGCTTTGTGAGGAGAAGTGAGAGTTCGATCGTGACATCAGGCGATTGGTGTAACGGTAATCGAGACGGTCATGGGGTCTACACGTACGGCAACGGTGACAGCTACAAGGTCGGAGGCCATGCGGGAGCGCGAGGGACTGAAGAGCATGGCAGGGAAGATTTGCGAGGAACTTGCGGTCAGGACCAGGAGTCTTCTTCCACCATGAAAGGTGTGGCGACGAAATGTTAGAAGAGAGGCCGTGACTGAGAAGCTTCAGCGGCATGAGCTACAATTGCGACTGGTCCAATAACATCCCAACCATCTTGCCGGCCAAGTTGCGAGGTGCGTGCATGGCTCTGCGAAGTTGAGGAGGCGGCAAGGGTTCTGGTTTTTCACGAAATGGTCAGCGGAAACAAGCGAGAGGCTGGAGTTCGAGGCGGCAAGGAAGGAGAAGATAGCCCAGGAGCCTCAATCCTCTGAGGCGCAAGAAGGGGATCAAGAAGCTGAAGGAAGTGAGGAGAAAGGAAACGAGGAAGAGGCGGAAGCTCCACAAGGACCGAAACCTCTTGCTGAGCTCCTCTCGCAGGATTTTGCCGCTGGTCACAGTCCCATGTACGCTGTTCACGTCTCCTCACACATTTCAGGGAGCGAGATTCCCCGCATGGTGATTCAAGTATGCTCAGAGGATGGCACAGCACAGACCGGAGAGTCAGGTACTAGAAACTCATCCGAATTGCAGAGCTGATCGAGTGCCAAGGACGGCTCCTCGAAGTTACTTTCGGTGTCTTCGAGCGGGAAGAGGAGGAAGGTAAGCAGGAGGAGCAACTTCTCGTGGACTTTGGTGATGAGAATATGCCGCAGAGGCTGGGAAGGAGGGCGAGGCAGAAGCGGAGGCTGCCGACGAGGTTCAGGCAGACAAGGGTAAGTTCAAGAGATATCCCAGCAAGGCCTATCCTCTGCAACAAGAGGCCGCTTCGAATGCGGAGAAAGACAAGGAAGGGGCCGAAGAGTCTGCAGCAGGTGAACAGCTGAGAAGAGCAACGCAGAGCTCATCCTTTTGATGGCAGAGAGATCTCGTCCTTACCCTCCGACGTTTGTCATCGGAGGGATCAAGATGGCCGACGGGGTTGCAGTCCTGGAGGGCTTGAAGTTGCCCCGGGAGGTGGAAGGTCGATCAACCCAAAGTGACGCTCTTGGATGTGCATGACATGCTCGACAGCGGGGGCCTATCGCCTTCGGATCGGTTGTGTGTACCAGAATTGTTTCCAAGACGTTGAGGTATGGCGCAGCTGCTCTGTTTGCAGAGGGTGTGTAACAACTTGACAGGCCTTGTATCTTCTTTTCAATGTGAGCTAGCATAATTGTAAGAGTAGGAGAAATAAAAAATGAGAACAGAATCAACTTAAAGTCCTCGATCACACCTCAAAATCGTGAAGCTACTCACTCTCAACGAAGTCCACAATATGGGCAGGAAAATTCAGTCGTTACCATGAGAGGCCGCTTACACTCAGATTTCCTCCTTGGTTTGCTGCTCTTTCTTCCTGGCCTTGTCCGCTTTTAGAGTTCCATGCACAGCAACTCCCTGCGAGAAACATGAGGGGCAGGAGGAACGAAGCAGCTTCTTGCCTTGGTGGTGCCACCGTATATCTCGTGCGTGTTCTGGTAAATGTTGGGATCCCACGGCACCTTAGGGTGCTTCGACTCGTGATGCATCTCCATGTTCTTCAGGCTCGGAGCTTGCATCATACACAGCGGGCATATCAGTCTACGTGAACAGGTCAAAGGACATCAGGAGTTTGACCTGCAAGACTCACTTGGCATGTCCTGCCTTTCCTCCGAGCCTGTCTTCGAGACCAGCCTTTCCTCCCCCCATGTTCTTGTTCGCCAGCTTATTCTTCTCCGAGATTTCCTTGGCTGTGTGCTTGGCTGAGACACCTTTCCGCCCCCCTCGGAGCCGGAGAACGTGTGCCTCGATGCCCTCGTGGGATCCTGCGGTTTCGAGAAGCAACGCAAGAGCCAGCACGAGGCTGAAGATGCGCTGCATGGCTGCTTGAAAACGAGCGATGAAGGAGAGCAAACAGAGAGAAGAGTGGAGGAGAGAGAGACTAGCGAAGGAAGAGAACCAGGAGGAGGGAGTGGAGGGAGGGAGGGAGTGGAGGGAGGGAGTGGAGGACGAGCGGGCGCAGCAGGCAGAAGCCGGGGAAAAGTGCCAAAGAAGTACAAGGCATGCGTGCCCCTCGTCCCCACTCCACCCAGTCGCTAAAATCAGCGATCAGATCAGCGATGCTGGGAGCTATGTTTGATGAAGCTGACAGTGTGCGGTGGAGAGAGGAGGAAAACGATCCGTGGATCAGTAGGACGAGGAGAGAGACAGAAGGAAGTACACGGAGGAAGAGGAGAAGGGGAGGGGGAGGGGGAGAGAAGAGAGGGAGGGAGGGGGGGGGGGATAGGGAAGGTCGACAAAAGACACTGAGCAAGAGTGGGAAGGAAAGAGGGGGGGGGGATGGAGAGGAAGGTTTCGAGTGAGGTTAGATGGTCAGGAAGATGCGACACCCTCAAGCTGTAGAGTAGGGGCAAAAGAAAAGATGAAGGGAGCAGGCAGGGAACATTGCAATGTGTAGAACGAGATTCTGCGATTATGCCAATTGTTAATCTTGTTGGATGCAGGTTTTGTTCACGACTTGCTGTCAGATGCCATGGTATCTGAATTGACTCGATCGAGGAAAAGTTAGCAGGGCAATAATATCGATGTCGTTGATCTCTCCGTCATTCGAGGGACCTTTGATTGAGCTCAAGGAGATATCCAGTACAGATTATGGTGACAGTGGGTCATTCAACAACTTCTCGAGGACAAACACGTCGAAAAACTATCATACGTGTGGGAATGATCAGAGTAGATACGGACAAAATCACAACTTTCGAAGGATCTTCTCTGCATTTCTTGCTACATGCTTTGTCGTTATTGCTCTGTTGGTAATCTTCGTGTGCTTTGAGTCACTCCAACGAGCCTTGAAGGTGCTACGATCAATTCTTGTTTCTTTAACATGACTTGAGGTTTTAGAAAGAACAACACACTGAGGAGGCACTGGAAAACGGCTAAAGGATTCTCTCTCAGTTACAGGTATGAGATTGATGACAAGGAAGGCTCGCTCAGCAAGTGAGGGGGCTTTCAGAATTCTAGCAGTGCACACCAGTTTCCTACAACAATCTAGAATCATGATAGAAACTCGATGGCCATGATGTGAGACCTGGAGAAGTTGCAGGTGAAAGCGTTGCGCTGCCTTGTCTCCATGGTCCAGGAACCATCCGTTTCGAAACCTTCAGCTTGTGTCAGCAACCGATTTAGGGGAGTGTCCCGTCAGGCTACCGGAGCTCGTTAACAGCCAGTGTCTTTGAAGGAATGGCGGTTGGTATGTTCCGTGAGTAAGATTCAAGATCTGAAAGGACATTGTCCAGCTCAAGCTCCGGCATCGAACTGTCGAGGAAGTCAAGCAGGTTGCAACAACTGTTCGTACCTGGAATCATCTACATGGGCCCTTCACTCGATTCACTCGATTCACTCGAACAGAGACGATCGTAGAGGGAGAAGAATAGCCGTTAACACGATAGAAAGTGACGAAAAACGGAAATGAATAAAGGGAAAGAAACCAGAAAATGGAGATGGAGAGGAGGTAGAGTAGAAGTACTCTCCTGTTTGAGCTCGGATGATTGGTAGCAGTTCCTCCACAAGACTTCGCAACTGCGATGAACATCTACTTTTGATGAGCGAGCTAAAACTTGGTAAAATTTACCTGTCTGAATCGTGAACTTGTCCGACGGCGATGCCGCCGTTAACGTGACAAATAAGCCACAAGCAGGATGCCCACCTGGCCTAAACTCAGCAGCGACAGCGGAACGATAGGAGCAAAAACAGTAGCTTCTTCGCCGCCTTAATATCGAGTTGTCTGGATGAAGATAGCACTTTACATGACATACCGCCATTCCTGCCCGGGCTTGTTACTTCAGCCTGCTTGGATGAGCGAATAATCTTTCAAGTGACATATCAAGCAGTCATTAGGAGAAGGGCATCTGGTAGAGATTGACGCCGATGGGGCCGATTATATCTAACAGTGGGGAGATAGTGAGAGACACACGCACTACTTGAGAATGTTGCAAAATTCCTGGGCCCATCTGCCTTGGACATTGAGAACGCTAAAGGGAGGGAATTAATTGCACCTTCCATGCACATAGCTGCATCCTCCTTCCTTAGCAGGACCATTTCGTTCCAACACAGAGAAGTACAATACAGCAATTGTTTGATCCTCTTCGAGATCAACCAGCAAGGACCTCACCAATCCATTCTGGACGAGAATGAGGTCGTATGGCATCGTCGGTCGGACAAGTTCGACCTGCATGAAAACCAAGTCTCTTCTTCTCGATGGTTCTGTCTTGGATACAACTTCTTCCAGATTCTCAACACCTTCAATGCATCATGAACATGTTCTGAATTCAGGATATTATAATAAATACCAGTACACACAAAAATCGGAGTGTTAGTCGGAGAATTGACTCCTATCTTGTCGAGCTTCCTTGTACAGTATAGGTCATCCTGAGGAATTCTTACAAGCATTGAGCTCGGAAGCATGAATCTTTACCCCAGCAAATCTCCGAATCGCGCTGCCTATCCTGCCGTTCCCACCAACAATCTCCCCTAGCATCGTGAACTCGTATGGTGTCGGGGAACTAGGGCAGGAACAAGGTAGCTGAGTCACCCGGGCCGGTGACCGGGGCCGATCATTACACTCAAAGTTCAGTTAAATCAATCTCACGAGGCCCGCCTCATACTCCGGTATCTCAAAATGACTCGAGATGAAGTTATACATAACGCCGTCAGTACCATTCTAGCTGAAACACTAGTACTATAGAAAGTTTTACTTACTGTGTCACAGTAGATTTGGAAGGTGCTTGCTACGACAACCGTTGTACGATTTTTACTACCGCCGCTCCAACTGTCTGCTTGCAGCAGTGCAGCACTACTGATCGGGCGGCACGTACGTGTAGGAGTACCCGATGAATAAGTTAGTACTTTCATACTAACACGTTGAGTATAATTGTTGTACCAGGTTCTCGGCTTACAGGCGTACCAGGCTGCTCTCCGAGTTACTACGGGTATGTAAGCTTTTACACCCGCCGGTACTTGGGCGTTGGGAGTTACGGCAGATCCACACTTTATCCTTATCCCTTATCAGGCATTGTAGTGTTACCGGGGTGGGGTCACCGGCAGTGACGGTTACAGTGCCTAAGAGGGCCCAAGCCATGAGATCGTTTAAGTCTGGTATTAGTGCAGAAAGCGCTAGTACTCTGGGGTGTAGTCGATGTCTTTTTCGGGGATGCCCCAGCCTTCCGCCCTGGGTGGGTATCTATGCCAGGTGTTGTTGAAGGTTTCTGCACTGCAGCTGGACAAAATTCTATGGCGATGGGAGGGATGGCAGCAAACATGCTGCTGCTCGCAGCCATGGCGTTGCTGTTGAGTAGTGCACCTTGTTGTGATGCGAGAGTAAGCAAGGAAGAGTTCGAACATGGTTTTCGGCATGGAGAAAGGCGTTCTGTGGTTGCCAAGAACCTTCCCGGAAGACCTCTCATGATTCACAACCCCGAAACTTTGCTGCTTCATCATACAGAAGACAGAGCACATGCAAAGCTCAAGACTCGATTCAGACAAGATTCGACCATTGCTCAGCAACAGATTGTGTTTGAGGAATCAAGCAAGAGTCATTACCTTGTTCGAGTGAAATATCCCGCTCCTCCCGACATGCTCTCTCAGTTGAGGGCCACCAGCGGAGACAAGTTTGTGCAATACATTCCATACGACACGTATGTGGTTGCTATGGAACCTTCCAGGAAACTTCGTGTTGCGAGCATGAAGCATGTGGAGACGATTTATCACCTCCCGTCGAGCATGAAGATAGCCAACGACCTTCAGGATTACATGTCGTTGGCGATGAGATCGCTCTCAGCCAAGCAGCCCGAGACAGTCATCAACAGCAACCCCCAGCACCCTGAGAAGCGAGGGACCCTAGACAACAGCCACAAGAAAGACAAGGGAAACCAGGGAAACTCGAAGTCTCAGACCAAACAAGACAAATATGGACAAGACAAATATGGACAAGACAAAGAGAAGGGAGCACCGGCTGGACCTGATGAGAGCGTATTTCTTGAGGCAGCCATCTCAGTTCATCCGGATCAAATGTCTCTAACCAATATGCTTCAATTGTTGGAAAATGCTTTCAGCACAAGATCGGGCAAGATCGCTCAAGTATGGGCGAAAACGAGCAGCAAGCTGACAATTGAAACAAACGCACAAAATGTTGGGAAGGTTGTAGAGCATTTGGCAAATCAAGCATCGGTGAAATGGATGGAAAAGAGGTCAGAGTACCGCACTTTGAACAAGTATTCTTCCTTGATCGTTCAGGGAACCTATCAGTGGCAACCAACCAAAACGAAGCTGGAACAGCTCGGTTTGAACGGAACAGGACAAATAGTGGGCATTGCTGACACTGGCATTGATTTTGATTCTTGCTTCTTCTATGACTCCAAGGTTCAGGTCTCTGTGTGTGAGGATTGCTATTTCTACGGTTATTCGTGCAGCAGCATGTGCCCTGCTCAACCCAGTCACCGTAAGATTTTGTCTTACAACTCTTATCCTCCTCCTCCCCCCTATCCTCAGCCTTATGACTCGTATCATGGTCATGGCACGCATGTGTCCGGTATCGTTGCTGGCGCCGCTGGTCCCAACCACACTCTTGCGACTCAGTACAATGGATCAGCTCCAGGAGCGAAGATCGTGTTCGACGATGTTTCGAATTTTGAGCCTTACCTCAACTACCTGCCATGGGACCTGAGCTCGAGTATCTATCCCCATGCATACAACAATGGAGCAAGGATTCACTCCAACTCATGGGGGGGCTATTCTTATGGATACGACTTCCAGTGCATGGAAACCGATTCATTCATGTACGACCATGATGATTTTCTGGTCGTGTTTGCTGCAGGGAATAGCGGTCCTTATCACTTCTCGATTGGCAGTCCAGGGAATGCCAAGAACATTCTGTCGGTAGGATCAAGCTTGAACTCCCGTGAGTCGTACGTGGCGCATGGTTATGGTACCTACTTCAACCTCTCCATGCTGCTCTCTGATGGCTCAGACGAGAGGCTGGTTGACATCCTCCCTGCCTCCTTTGGAGCTCCGCTGACCCCCGACACGGAACCGATCAACGCTCCGCTAGTCGGTCAATACTTTTACAGATGGTGCTATCCGTATGATCCTTGGTGCATGGATATTCAGACTCTGCTGTGCCTGCCTTATCCGGACTCGAACTCAAGTTGCGCCAAACCGACTTCGTCAAATGCTGAGATCTCAACAAGCTTGTCAGACGTGCATACTGTTGAAAATCTTGGTAACGTTCAATCAAGCATTCGGCTTCAGGATTATCGGTCTTGTTATGTTGACCCTTGGATGTCAACGACGACATGTTCGTTCTCAATGTATGTCAACAGAACATCTGGAGGTGATGTCGATCTTATGATTCAAGTGCCTTTGTCGTACTGGATGGGCAGCAACAGTGTCACTAATGTCAAGGGAATCACTGTTGCTGGCGACTATGTTCCTATGGACTTCAGTGTGTTAGGCAGTCAGTCATGCGGGCAATCAATCAGTACAACATACAGGATACCGTCACAGGTGTCGGGAACGATTCAGATCGTTGTTCAGTATGACCAATCGATGAGGTACTGGTACCCTTGTATGTGGTCTGGTGTCACCTTCACGATGATATCTCATGCCGCCACGTCATGGGACATCCTGTATGACTCGTCTATCTTTCAAATGTACAACTATTACTATTATTATTACTACTACTATCCTCAGATGTTCATTGATTTGAAAATTGACTTCGACTTCTGCGTATTTGGAGAAAATGCAAAAAATCGTACGTATCTGACGGGAGGTTCTGTTGCATTTGCTCATTCCTATGATTTGTCATTCTCGCAGTTTGTTTTTAACAATGAATATGAGGCATATCCAGTTTTCATGGCGGGAAAGAAAGTTCAAGACAACGGCATTAATGGGTACACTATCTACATCAAGAGTCATCACATGGAAACCTCACATGATCAACAATCGCGAGTCACGCTGTATGAAAATAATAGCATTACTTACTCTGTTGTCAGCCCGGTAACCGATGGAGATGACTCATTCTCCTTGTCCGTCCGGCAATGGTACTCTCTTTATTCAGGATCGATCAACATCAACCAGACGGTGACTTTGACAGGCTTCTCTAATCCATTGAGTGATTACTTTCGCGGCTTCTTTAAAGGCAACATGGTTGCTTCTCCTTTTATGGGCTATTGCGATGAAGTGCTCATGGCCTGGAATGCTCAGAACATGGGAGCCTCTGCGCTGATCTTGTACGAACCTTCGATCCAATACCCCGCGCCTCTTTTGAAAGGAACAGGAGGACCGAACGAAATGTTGAAGGATCAGATCACGATACCTGTCGCTGGCATCTCAGGTTTGGACGCGTTCAACCTCACAACAGGATGGTTTCAGCAGACCTGCGCTCCAGGTTTCTCTTATCTCTGCCTCTATTCTATGCAGTTGGCCAAGTTACCACTGGTCAGCAACGTTCGCTCAGGACAAGAGTACAAGCACACCGACTTGTCGATCTTCTCATCGCGGGGGCCAACCTTTGATCTCAGAAACAAGCCGGACATCGTCGCTCCTGGTCAGAACATCTTCTCCGCTTCTTCCGATGGAATCCGCAACAGCTTCCAGTGCGCTAACTCCGTCGGGCTCAACAAGAGCTGCATCCTCGAGATGAGCGGAACCTCCATGGCTACTCCAGCAACCGCCGGGGCAGCCGCCATAGTGAGGCAGTACTTCGAGGAGGGCTACCATGTCACGGGCTCTCCCTCAGGTGCGGATGGTGTCAACCCTTCCTCGGCGCTAGTCAAAGCTATGATCATTCAAAGCGGCAAGCCTCTGCGCCATGCTTACCAGTATGGGTCTAAGATGGTGAGGAACGGCTTGTGGGGCTACCTTCAAATCTACGGAGGGTCTGGAGTCGCATGGCAGGAGTCGACTGCAAGCCCTTCAGCGGAGCAGGGGTACGGGCTGCTTGACTTGTCGTCGGTCTTGTGGTTCGGAGCGGATTCAGACTTTGTGTTGAAGACTTACGATCGGGTGCAGCTGTCTCAAGGTCAGGTCGTAAAGAAATGCTTCTCCGTCTCCGGCGGCTCTCAGTTCCGAGTCACTCTAGTGTGGACGGACCCCCCCGGGTCCACGTACGCCTCCAAGGCGCTCATCAGCGATCTCGACCTCGTGCTCATCGATGGCAGTGGCAACACCTTGTACGGCAACAACCGCTCGGGCTCGGACATGGACCGAACCAACAATGTCGAGCAGATCACCCTGCCGCAGGCTCCCGCAGGCACCTACAGCGTCTACGTGTCTGCCTATGACTTGCCTCAGGGGTCGCAGAACTTCGCGCTGGTGGTGACGGGCGCCATCACTGCTGAGCCAGACTGCAGCTCATCGCCCTCCTGCCCCAACAGCTGCTCAGGTCATGGCACGTGTAGAGCCCCCATCTGCGATTGCGACGCAGGATACTTCTCGATCGATTGTAGTCAGTCACCCAAATGTGGTGATGGGATTTTGACAGCTCCGGAGCAGTGCGACGACGGCAACTCAGTCTCAGGCGACGGCTGCTCGTCGACCTGCCAGGTGGAGCAAGGCTGGGAGTGCGACCAAGAGTTGTGGCCGCAAGACAAGTCCTCCTGCTTCAAGTGCGCGTGCGGATGCGAGAGATACTATGAGGAGTCTGGCGTTGTCAACGGGTCGAGCTCTGTCTACTACAATTACAACATGTACAATTACAACATGTACTATGGGCCCATGTATTACCCAGGATATTACTACTGGGGCCCGCAATGCGTGTATGATATCGAGCCGACTGGTTTGACGTCTCTTCAGGTTTCGTTTCCTGATATGCAGAGCAACGCTTATCTCAACATTGAAATCTACACCTGTGCAAACTCAGACTGTAGCCAATGGAACTACAATGGTTGGATATCAGGCAGCTACATGAACTTGTGGTTGCCCGACGCTCAGATGTACAACTCTGCGTTCAGAGCCAACGTGTCTAAGGTGAGAGTGGCCTCTTACAGCCCGTTCCTGCTCAAGTATGGACCCATCGTATACGACGTGTGCGGCGATGGCATCCAAGAAGGGCTGGAGGCGTGCGATGACGGGAACCTCGTCGACGGCGACGGATGCTCGTCGACATGCAAGAAGGAGTGCACGGCAGCACATTGCTGTCACTTTGACTTGTCACCGCATGACGTCTTCGCTAAGAGGTACGAGAACGAAGTCGCTCCTGGCGCCACGTGCGCCTCGTTCAGCATCTCCGACAGCAACAACGGTATGGGCGAGATCGAGATGGCAGTCATCCCAACCCTCCTGCTCCCTACCGTCTGTGCGCAGTCAGAGGTCGACAGCTCCTCGTCTACCAGCATGAAGTTCAACGGATCGTCGACAGCAAGCCAGTACAACTCGGCCACTGGAACCATCATGGGCCATTGGAGCTTGCTCTATCCCTCTTCCTTGTCCAATGGGATGCAGAACATGGATGACGGTAACTGGCTGCTCCCTGACTTTGGCTTCGACTTTTGCTTGGAGGGCAAGAACGTGAGAAATCGGACGTACATCAGTTCCAACTCCTACATCACCTTCTACAACGGCTTCTCCTTCTACTCTGGTCTTTCTGCTTCCTGGCCTCCCACACCCACCATGTTCGTCGGAGGCTCAGAAACGTCGGCTCAGCTCGTGCTGACCAAGAGAGTGTATGAGGCGGGCATGCGAGGCTTTCTCGTTCGGTTTGAAGGTACAGCCTCAACCAGCGGTCAGCTCGGCTCGCCCAACATCATCTGGGAGGCGACATTCTTCGAGGACAACCGCATCAGAGTCTCTGTCGGGCTCATGGCGAACAGCTACGGTCTCTCTCTGCTGAGCGACGGCAACGGCAAGGTCCTCCTTCCTCTGACATTCAAGCAAAAATCAGCTGAGCTCCTGCACCTCAAGAACTTCTGCACCATGTACAAGCAGCAGGTCGCGTGCGACAGACTTGAGATGAGCTCACAGGAGGAGATTCAAGTCTTGCCCAACGAGTTTCAAGTCTTCCGCGGTCGCTCGCTAACTTTGAACTACTTCTCCACCGTCAACAACCGAACCTCCTCGCCATTTCCCTTCGAGCTGTCATGGGGAGGCAAGTCGAAGCCCATCTGCGGCAACGGGCTGCGGGACTGGACGTTCAGCATGCTCACAGCTGTGAACTGCACTTCGACGACATCTTACTGGTACTCGTCCACGATCAACAACGGAATGGGAGGAGTCTACTACCAGAACTACTGGATGTCTTCCTGCCAGGTTCCCCTCTGGCCTCTGATCAACTCATCGGGGCCCATGTACCTTCTTGTCGACATGGACTCGACCTCTCTCTACGGGGGTTCCATCATGAACGTGACCCTCAACGGCGTCAGCATCCCCTTCTCCTCTCCTTACCAGATGAGCCCCACCTGCGGGATGAAAGTACCAATCGTCCTCACTGAAGTTCCTCCCAACGTTGAGGGACCGAAGTTCTCTCTGCAGATCAACGTCATGTATCCTAACTGCTGGTACTGCTCCAACACTCCCTCCTGCTACTACATCAACGCCGAGGCTTTCCTCGCCGCTCCTTATGTCTTCGAGCAGTGCGACGATGGCAACCAAGTGGACGGTGACGGATGCAGCAGCACGTGCACCATAGAGCCCGGGGCCTCGTGCGACAGCTCCTTCAGCATCGGGTCGCTGCAGAGAGGGCCGGACGTCTGCCTCGGCAAGTACGGCAAGCAGATGCCGGGAGGATGCTCCAACTGGATGGCGATGCTCAACTCGTCGACGTATCCGTTCCTGTGGGGTGAAGACCCGAGCTACAGGAACTGCTCGCTCCCTTACACGTGGGAAGAGATCGTCATTCCAGCCCTCAAGAACTGCTCGGTGCAGTACAAGATGGGAGGCCTGGGCCTGCTGATGACGGATCAGTTTCAAGTTTGGATCTGCGTGAAGGATCACCCGTGTGCGTTGAGCGCGAGCAACCCTTACTTCTGCTTCGTCTACGATGAGATGAACGCGAAGTTCATTCCTTGGGGAAGCAACTCCAAGCTTGAGCTCTTCCAACTCGTGAAATGAGCAGGCGTTGGACTCGTGCTTGTTTGTGTGATGAGTTTACGCTATTTGCAACGTTGTGCTGCTTTGATATATTTGTGTCACCATATAGCTATTTCTGTCTTGTGACGCTGTAATTTGCAGTCATTCACAATTAAATAACTATTATCCATTTTGTTTTCGTATGAACAGCATTCTGCATGCTTGGTTGGTTTACTTTTACCTCGTCGCTGGTTCATGGTTGACATGGTCAAGATCGAAGGTGTAGGAGATTAAGATCATGTCACTCGTGGCAATCACGATCTCAAGAACTCTGAGAGGTCCTCATCATCATCCTGCAGCATCTCTCTGAGAGGTCCTCATCATCCCGCAAGCTTGACTGTATCTTTACTTCACAACCATAACACTGGGAGCCATCAGAAGCTGTCGCAGGAAGTCTTGCCGAAGGGGCTGAAACATTTCTGGCAGAGATTGAAGGAAGAGTCGGAGTTGAGAGACTTCCAGAGGTCCTGCGGGTCGAGACGAGGGGAGCAAGCATGGTCAGCGAGTGAGGCAGCGAGGAGAGGCAGGGCGTCTACCTGCGTCAACTTGGGGTTGACGAGGCCGGACGTGCGGTACTCAGGGCACATCCAGCATTCTTGATTGTAGGTGAAGTTTGCTTGAGGGAAGCCCGTGGGGTTCGGGCAGAAGAAATCTTGACCTCCTTGACAGAAGTCTCCGCTTGTCAGGTTGCAGTCCGCGTGCGAGCTGCAAGGCTTTCGGCTCTCTTGACATGTTGACGGCTGATTGTTCTGTTGGAGAGTGAGAAGCCGATAGATGGAGGAGGGAAAGTCGCTCACAGTCCCGTTGTGGAGGAGGATGCCGTACTCGCGGATAGACGTGCTACACTGCATGATCTTGTACGCGACGTTCTTCATGCAGGCCCTGCCGTTGGCACAAACAGACCCCGGAGAGCAGGGGATGGTCGTTTCTGACGGAAAACCTTGAGACCACAGGATACGAAGGGGTGAAGATGAGGGTGAGCAGAACTAGAAGAGGAGAGCGGGAGGAGAGAGGAAAGAGGAGGAGAGAAGGAGGATGCCGCACAGGAGGGGTTTTCGAGTGGAGGGCTGGCAAGTGTTCCAGGGAAGAGAGATGGCACGAGCAGAGGGGAGGAGAAGTTCACCCGGACAGACGTACTCGGAGATCTGATTGCAGTAGCCGTAGAGCTGCGGATCACCACAGGAGCATCTGCGTCCCATCAGCACGTGCGAGCAGAGCAGCAGTGGCTCTCACGAGATCACGTTGATGCAGGGGCGACAAGCGCACCTCCTGTCCTTCTGCAAGGTGCCGAAATATTGCTAGGAGGCGTCTCAGCTCCCCTCCTCCCTTCCCTCTGACTTCACTCCACCTGCATGAACGATACCGCCTGCTGTCGGGCAGTCCCACTTCCCTTCCACAACTAAAGGGCGAATTTCAGAATCATGGCAAAGGGTTTGTCAGTAGACCACGACGCCATCAATATATATAGACAAAGGGGACAGGAAAGAAAGAGAATGGGAAATTCTCAACCACCACCACGATAGAGTGTTACGCACTTCAAGCACATTCTTTCGGATCTCCGGGTAAGAAATGACATCTCCTCCTGCGTTGCACGACACTTGCTCGAACGAGGAGCCGCAAGAGACCGAAGGAGAGATAGCGCGGTTGCTGTACTGGGGGCAAGGCCAGCAAAGATATGGGCCGAGGGGAGGGCCGAACCACACGATGCCGGAGGGGAAGGCGATGATGGAGCAGAGGGCGGAAAAGAAGAGAAGTTTGGACAGCATCGACCTTCCTCCGACCTGCGAGCAGGACGTGAGTGAATACTCGCCAGGGACGCATGCGGGCTCACCAGCATGCCGCGGGGTTTCCTGCAATGATAGATGAGACGGTACCTGTCGATGGGCCACTCGACGATGTTGGTGAGCAACGTGATGCCTGTGCCATGACGAACGGTCAGAAGAGAGGAATGGTGGGAGAATGCACGGAAGCAGCATGGGAGGGGTGGGCGAAGGCAGCAAGGAGGAAGGAGGAGTGATTTTGGCCTTAGGACCAACGAGGAGTTGGCAACGAGAGTGGTGAGAAGGAATAGGTTAGAAGAGACATGCGAGGGAAGAAGATCATCAGATGAAATATGATGATGGCACTTGCCTGTTATCATCGGGAAGACTGAGATGCCAATGTACATGATAAATTGCCTGTACACAATCTCGAAGTATTCGTCGGTAAGCTCGAATTCAGGCCTACCAAATCAAAGTGAGTGTAGGTGAGAAAATGGAGGGCAGGGAGGGCGCAAGATAGGAAATGGCGAGAATGGAAGGGAGAGAGGGGAGGGAGGGAAGGAGCTCACTTCTCATCTTCGTTGCTCCCCTCATTGTTTTCCAAGGACACGAAAGGGCTTAAAAGGCAGACGACCAATTTCCAGATATAAGGCCAAAAGAATTCGACAAAGTTGTTGATAGTGATGTCCATCAAAATGAAAATGAATATCTACAGAAATCGAGTTAGAAGGAGCCCAGTCTAGACCAAGAAACTCCGGTCCACTTAAAGTTTCAGCACATTGAGGATCATATCAAACGAGAGCATTCACCTGGAAGGCAATACGACTTGAAGAGCATGTATAGAACGGGAAGTCTGCATAGTAGCGGAAGATAAAAAGTCCGTAGACGTTGACGAGACGGAACAGAATGATCTTGAGCAGACGATGTCTGCGGTAGGAAGACCAGGTCGGATGCTTCTCCAAGTCCGTGAGGAAGCGAACAATGCTGTCAAAGATCAGGTTGGAGATCGGGACGATCGCAGAGGTGATGAGAGAGACAGCAAGCTGCACTCCTTCTTGGAAAGCCCCGATTTGCTTCAAACCTGAGTCGTACTGACTCGGGATGGTACGATAGAGCATCTGAAACAGCACCGCATACATGATCGCAAGGGGGCATGCGCACATGAGCACGAAGATTGAGTAAGAGATGATCATGCGCTGCTTGAACCCGAAGGATACTTCTTTCTCGAGACCATCATAGGGAATCTTATCATCTTCCGGATTTGTCGACGCCTCTGCGTTCTTAACATAGTCGCGAAAGAAAAGGGTTGAGGTGTAGAAGTAGACCGGACCAAGGACAAAGGTGAAGATAGTGACGAGAACCATCATCGTGACCCAGGGTCCATCTGTAGAAGGTTGGAACGACGACAAGAACAACAGATCCAGAGAGGAGATTGAACTAGCGTTGAGAAATCCAAAGCCAGCATCCGATAGCTTGGGAGATGCATTCGAAACGTGAGGAACAAACCCTATCAATGAGAATAAGAAGAGGATCAGATTGGAGACAATCACGAAGTTCAAGAAGTTGAAATACTGAGTAACCGGCTTCCCGTAGGCCTCTTCAAGCTCATCCCTACTACAGAAGAAACTGACTTCTTTCTTAACGTGCTCATTCGACGCAAGGCTAGCAGCCGCATCTTGGAAAGCGATATAGGGGTTTCCATTCTTGTTGAACAATAATGTTTGTTGGTTTCTGTCAATCTCGAGCTGTTGAGCAGGTTGGGCAAAAGACAGAATCGATTGCTTGATCGAGCTCAAAGAAAAGCCTCCAGAGCTCTCCACATTTGCGCCTTCGTCGTGGGCGTCATGATGCCTGCAATTCAAGTCAACCAACAACATTGGCAGAAATGTTCATTTCTGCAAAACAAAGTGATATTGACCTCGCTTCCAAACGAGTAGCACTGATGTCAACATCAAGAATCAGAATAATGCACATTTACACACAGAGCAAACTCAGGACCACGAACAGTCTTTCACTATGTTCAGCAACAGCAGCAGACACATCAGAGCAGCACGTTGAATACCTTCCTTGTTGACCTTGACCTTGCTGCATGCCTCCCGGAGGTGTGAAAACATCGTTTGCCGGCAAGCTGGAGTTCATGAGCGTTGAAGTTGCTTCAGGACGAACCATAGCATCGCTTGCAGGATAGATCGAACGGATAGATGCTGTGTTGTACAATGCCGGCTGTGCCGGTTGTGAGGGTTGTGGGGCAAAAAGGTCGGGCCGCTCCCACTGTGTGGTTCTTGTTTCATGATTCACATAATACGCTTGTCCATCTGGAGTGAACTCTTGGACCCAGGGATGAGGAAGCTGCTCGCGAGTCAGCCGACTCTGCATTTCCACGGGCTGCCATCCGTCCACCATGACAAACAAACTGCACAAACCTGATCAAACATGAGAGCAAGCAAAGAATGATGAGATTATGTCTTCTCCACGCATCAGTCAATCATGATCCTCGTAAGCTTGCATCTTTCTTCTTCTTCAAGTAATTGACCTCTTCCCCTTGTGCACTACACAAATCTTTCTTGTACCTTCAGTCTCAGTACTGCTCCAATTCTCAATCACTGCACCGAGCCTGTCCTTTCCTACAGAACAACGATCCATTTCAAAATGGCCATTTGAGTACCATTGTGCGAACATACTTCCTTTTCTCCTTCCAACTTTGAAGCTTTCTCATGGATCCATTTCCGAAACAAAGTAACTCCTCCTTCCTTATCCTTGTCTCTCTCCATTTCCTGTAAAGAGCTGATCACTGCAAAGCTTGCCTTGTCTCCCTTCAGTACTATTCTACCATTGTGCCTTCTTGGTCCTTTCATATCGCATCCCCAGCCAACCACAACTCTCCTTCTCTCGCCTCTGCCGTTCACCATAAACAACAATGTACTTCGGTCCTACTACAGCTTGTCGAGGTTTAAAAATCGTTCGAAGTTTCAAAGTTTTAAACTATCCAAAGTTTGGTACCAAACCTTTCAGGCAGCTCATACAGCTCATAACGGTTTCAAGTATTTGTAACGCTCAGAGTCGGAGGTCAATTTATCAATAGGGTGGGGGTGGGGCGAGACTTAGATGAACTACCCCTGGTAAAGAGGACAAAACAAGGTTCAGACTGGGGTACGAAAACTTTTGGTGGTACAGGATCATTTGTAATAAGACGGGTCCTGGCATCTAGCGGCGTTGGTGAAAACACAGGGGTGAGGGACATCAACGGTGGGGTGGGCTATCATGGGGTCGGGGGTTGCTTCTGATGGAAGGGTGGGTCATGTGGTACCAGCCGTGGTGCTATAAGATGATTTGGGTGATAGTAGAGGGGTGGGGGTAGTGAAGCAATGTCTGATCTCCAAGAGGGTGGGTGAGTAATTGGAATGGAGGGTGTAGAAAACAAACCTGAAAGGGGTGGGGTGATATCGCCAACTTGAGCTGGATCCCTCTATTTTGGAGAACGCCAGCCTCCTGCAACAAACATTGAAAATTTTCTGTAGGGGTGTTGAAAGAAGAAGAATATTTGAAAAATTCTTATATTCATTGACTTATTTGATAATGATGCATTCAAATAACAAACTTTGCTGTGTCGTTTCATCTAATTGGGTTAAATTGCTTGACAGTCATCTGACCGCACAAACCCCTTTTGGTTTGAAGTCGCTTCCTCGCCATTCGCCTCCTCCTGGCGCTGAGGACTCTATCCTCTGACGCGCACAGCCTGCCCGGCCCCCAGCCCTCCTCATTTGAGCTTTCATTCAGTCTTTTTCGTTATCGTTCTATCACTCCCGCCCCTCCTTCCATCTGCTTGCTCTGTGTTTGATCGAGCCTCTTCGTGTCTGAACCTGGATTCCTCCGTCGTTCGTGATTCTGAGGATTTCCTATTGGCGCACAGATCCGTGAGTGACACATCTTGGCATTCTTCTCCCTTCATCTTGTCGTTTCTGCTGATTTCAGTTGTGATTCCATTCCCTCTTGTCGGCAAATTTAGCGTCATCGGGATCTTTCCGAGTGATCAAGCCGTCAGCTGTAGCGTCCTTTACCTTCAGCAGTTCAAAGTCGAGTGATTGCTCTGATTTAGTTTCCGATTCTCCTACTCGGACGCTGTGCAGGGCTATCCTTGATCAAAGCTATCAGGATTGAACTGGAGCATAGCTAGCTGCTTCATTCTCTATCGAGATCACTGTCCCTTGCTGTTGGAACAGAACCGAACGCATCGTGGTGAGTTGATATTGATTCTTGGCCTCAAGATCTGTCCAAGAGCTCTTGAGAATCAGCTCGGTTGCCTTTCACAAGGCAGGACTTCCTTAGGCAACACACCTTCCATCCGATCAATTGCTTTCGCAGCATATCTTGCTTCAGGCAAGTTATCAGTTTTCTGTGTGGATTCAACCGTCGCTGCGAGCGCCGGTTTCTTTGCCCAGTATAGTGAGTTGGATCAAACTTGGGTGCAACAGCACCACCAAACTGTTGCGAGACCATAAAGTCTCGCGAATCGATCTCGAAGGCTGGAGACAATTCAGGAATGCCTCTGCCGAACGCGATCGAGCTACAGAGGAAAATGCCTCCGTCGCGCGAAAAACGTCGTTCGAAGCGTGCAGGCAAGCCAGATCAGCAGCCTGTAGCGAAGACATCAAACATAGCTTCCTCCAAACCCTCAAGGCCGTTCACAACGCCTGCCCCACGAAAGGGACAAGATGCGAGCCATCTTCTCAATTTCAGAACACCAGAACGAAGGACAGATATGTCGAACACCGGTTCATACCGTCGAAGAGGGCCAAAGGTTCGTTACGACAAGGATCGATACATGGCAGCAAATTACCACTTTGTTGTTGATGGATCACAGAATTTCAGCGTGCATCTTGCTGTACCTGATAAGGCCATTGACTGGGACTTTGTGCGTGAAGTTCACTTGTCCGAAGAAGGGTGTTACCAGTGTCCGATTTGTTTGGAGCCACCGGTAGCAGCAAGAATCACTCAATGTGGTCATGTGTACTGCTGGCCTTGTGTGAAAAGACTGTTGTCGGTTGCAGGGAAGAACTATGCGCCTTGTCCAATCTGTACAAACATTGTCACTGGTACTTTAGGACAACTGAAGCCGGCCGTGGTTCATATGCATGAGGCCATCTCTGTGAAATCCGAGGTCACGTTTGAGCTAATGCGCAGGGAGAAAGGATCCATGACACCTCTGAAAGCATCATCGTTCACATCTGATACTCTTGGGTGTATGAATTCGGCATCAGATATCTTTTCGGGTCTCACAAATGGCTGCCCCATAAGCGTGGACCGTGCAGATGCCAGGTTTTCTCAGATGTCGTCGGTGAAGAATTCTAAACATATTCTTGAACGAGAAAGAAGTGAATTGCTCGATGCCCTGCAGCTTTGTCATTCATCGCAAGATTTAGAAATGGTTCCCCACATCGAATCATGCCTAAGGGATCTGGATGTGCAGATATCCCAGGATGAGAGAATTGCCTTGGAATTGGACCCGGGCAGCACTCCCATTCCTGTTCCAAGTACACCAACGTCATCTTCTGCTTTGAACGACAGTCTGCGCAGTCCTACTGATTCTAGTGGTCTGACACGGTCCGGTAGCTTTAGCAAACGACTCTGGGTCAACGGTGAACTTCATGATGTTGAATATAGTGACGAAGATTTCGACCCCGAAGACGATTACGAATATCACTACGATGAGACATGTGACCTTTCGGTTGCGGCCTGCGATGGATTTGGTGGAGATGAAACAGAATCAGCCGCCACAGATGTAAGCACCCCTGATGATACGCATGAAATTTTGGACAGCTCGGTAAATATCTCGAAGTCTGAAAGCGATCGTGTGATTGAGGGGATTCACTTCTTCTATCAATCGTCCGAAGGCCAAAAAGTGTTTCTTCACCCTGTGAATATGCGATGTCTGTTGGAAGAGTATGGATCTTATTTGCATCTTCCACACAGTATCAAGGCGAACGTGATTGAAATTGAGAGATTCACACAGAATGATGAAAGCAGAAAGCGTTACAAGGCGTTGGAACATCTGCCTCTTGGAGCAGAGATGAGATTCGTGGAGGTAGAAATTGCACCACTTGTGAGCAAAGACACACTCAAGAGGATGCAGCCGAAGTTGCAGGAGAGAGCAAAGTCTAGGAAGTTCAGGGCGAAGCGAGAGGCGCAATTGCAAGCACGCGCAGAGAAGCAGAAGCAAAAAGACATGAACAAGGTTGCTCCGCCCCCCGATGACCTGCTTACGGGACCTTCCTTGCTGGAAGCGATGGCTGCTGCGCAAGGCCACATGGACGACGATGCTCTCTGTGCGCTCCTCATGTCTGAAGAGCATTCTCCTCCTCTTCCTTCACAGATGGCTTCCACCTATGGTGAAATCACTTCTGGTTCCCCTGGAAGCGCAGGGCCAAAGTGGAATGAACTTGTACGTGAAGGGCCTTCCTTTCGCCAGAATCAAGCCCAAATGCAGGTGAAGTCCTACGAATTTGAGACCTCTTTCTGACATGAAGTAGATCGATGATTTTCCTGCCCTGGGAGAAACAGCTTTTCCTTCCTTGACGAACTCATCGCCGAAAACAAGTTAGTGCTAGAAACAGTTCACGTTGGTATACACTCATCTCACTGATCAGGTTCTGGTGTATGGGGTGCAAAGCTCAGCACAAGCCCCTCCATGAAGGACGAGTCTCCGATTCGTAGAAATACGAGCACTCCAACGAAAACTACCTGGGGTCAACGAACGCCAACCACACAAGCAGCTTCGACGGGGAGGTCTCAATCAGGGGTCGACTCACTGATTTTCGACATGGATGAAGACGACGAGGTCGAATAATTGTCGTGCATGTACATGTCATACACCTGATTGTAAGTGCAGGTGACAGAAGAAGAAAGACGAAGGCGAGTTGCCGAAGCTCGTGACAGGTTGAATTAGACCTATCCTCCGTAACATAGCTCCTGATCAGCTTGCAGAGCCTGGGAAGCCGCACTTGCTGGATCAAGCAATAGTTCTCAGCTCGAAAATTGCCATTCAGGTTCCCAAGATGATATCAGTGGCAAGGATGGCAAGAATGGAGGCAAAAAAGGTCGCAAACAAAAGACGATTCTTCTTTCATGGGGATGAAAACTTATTTGTGGATATCGATGTCGAGGTTGCATCATAGGAAGTTTGACATCCTCTTTTATTGCTTCTGAATTCATTACCATCGCAAAATCAAGCATCGTGCCAATGTCATCCACACTTCGCAAAAGTCACAAGTTGTCCTTTTCAAAGTCAAACCATGATTGGTCATTCATACCTTGGCGACTCTGACATGACTCAGTGATGTTCAAGGGCCACAATTTGACGTCAAGCCGCAGCCCCGGGCCCGCCGTAGCCGCAGTGGGCTGGGCCGGGCAGCGGCCCGGGCGGCTGGCAGCGGGCGGCTGCCTAGCCACGTGATGGTTTAGCTCAGAGCCCCGGCGGCTTGAAACTGACTATGATGGTTTAGCTCACCTGTATGAGTTTAGTTACAAAGTCTCTAAAGTAGCACTCCCGAGGCCGCGAAAGAGGGTAGGGGTAGTAGGCAATGCCAGGGGTTTCAGTGGGTGGGGGTGGAACATATAGGGGTGGGGTAAAGATGTGGAAATAGGAGGCCCCCCTCGTGCGAGAGACGCTTAAGCGACATGGCGGTGGAGGGCGACAAGAGGGAGGAGGACGGGGAGAGGACGGAGGGAGGACGGAGGAGGAACATGCTAGAGTCAAGATAGGATTACCATCACATGGCTATCCAACTGTTTGCTTGTATTAGAACTTGCCTGAAGATCTTCAAAAGCTTGAAAAAAAGTAATGAACTGAGTTTGCGCTTATGCTGTTGCTAGTCAGAGTATCGTTTGATCTGAATCAGTGACTAGATCAGTTGAAGCATTTCTTTCCCTTGATTCCATTTGCTTCACATTGCCATTGCATAATCGCATTAGACACGCCTGTTTCGCCCCTTGCTGCTTCCCAAAACGATGTCTGGGGTGTTGAATTGACTTGCCTCGAACAGTGCCTCGTTGACCTCGAATGTCGTCATTTGGTACTTTCTTCCGCGTCACAACCTTCGGCGAGAGCCACTGCGCTGGTGATGCTCACTGGAAGAGAGGAAGCAGGAGGAGGTTCACTCATTAGATGTGCAGGTGTCGGGTGTATCGTCGATGGCGTCCCTCCTCGCATGCAGCTCTCCGAAGCCGATGTCCAAGTCCAGCTGAGCAGGAGGAGGCCAGGACAGGCAGGAGCAGGAAGCATCAGCACCGGAAGAAACGAGGAGGATGCGGTTCAGATCCTCTCAGGTAGCGGCAGAAGGACATGTTTTAATGGCGTTGACGAATCCGGTACAGGAACCGAGAAAGGCTTCACTCTGGGGACGCCGATCGGCATGTTTGTGAGGAACAAGGACATGCGACCGCACGACTATGGGGAGATGAGCCAGGTCCTCCTCCTCCTCGTTCCGCTGCCCCGTCCTTCTCGTGACACCAGCGGCAGATTCCTCGTCCCTCGCACGCAGACTTCACCTACCAGATGAAGTACGGCTTCCGTGCTGCGAGTGGAGGAGGACGCTCGAGCGCTCGTGAGACCATTGGGCGAGTAGCAGCAGGAGCGATCGCAGAGAAGTTCCTCAAGGAGCGCTATGGCGTCGAGATCGTCTCCTGGGTGAGCGGAGTAGGAGACATCTTCCTCCCCGACGACAAGGTGGACCTCGCCAACATCTCTAGGGAGCAGGTGAAGCGCAGGGAGCGCGAGCAGGAGCGAGTTGATTCCCTGGCAGGTCGACCAGCACATGGTCCGCTGCCCTTGCCTGGAGACTGCGGAGAAGATGACAGAGTGCATCAAGGTGCTGGGGAGCTGCTGGGGAGGCTGTGGGGCTGACAGACGTGCAGGCGGCGCGAGCTGATGAGGATTCAGTCGGGGGAGTTGTGAGCTGCGTTATCCGCAACGTGCCGATCGGACTGGGCGAGCCTTGCTTCGACAAACTCGAGGTCAGCCGGTGCTGCTGCCCACCTGCGTTGCTGACTGGCCTCAGGCGGTTCTTGCGCACGCGATGATGTCCATCCCCGCGACCAAGGGGTTTGAGATCGGAAGCGGGTTCGCAGGAGCGAGGATGCGAGGCTCGCAGCACAATGACATGTTCTCCATCGACGGTAGCAAGGGAGAGAAGGGAGGGAGGGAGGGAGAGATGGGATGGGAGAGATCAGAGGCAGGGATGGGAGGGAGGAAGAGGAGTGAGGGCAATTGACGCATCAAGGGGAGTAGTGTCTGAAATCTGGTCGCAGCGCAAGGCAAGATGGTGACGGAGACGAACTACTCTGGAGGGATCCAGGGAGGGATCAGCAACGGCATGCCTATCGTCTTCCGGATGGCGTTCAAGCCGCCGGCGACCATCGGCAAGGCTCAGAACACAGCTGACTTCACTGGATCTTCCACTGTGTTGGAGGCCAAGGGACGCCACGACCCCTGTGTGGTTCCCCGCGCGATCCCCATCGTGGAGACGATGGCGGCGCTAGTGATTGCGGACATGTGCCTGATGCAGGAGGCTAGAGTGAGCTCCGCAGCTCGGCTTCCAGCTGAAGTGAGCCCCTACTTCTGCGACCCCTCCATGAGCGGCGACGTCTCGTACAACGGGACCTTCAGTGGGTGGCCGAACTTGAGCGGAGAGAGTCGCAAGGTGAGAGCGAGGGAGAGAGGAGGATTGAGGGGGAAGGGTAAGGGAAAGGTTGGAGCGAGGTGGTAAAGGGAGGGAGGAGGGAGAGGGAGGAAGGGACTGAAGGCATTGCTGACTTGATGGACAGTCTGAGCTGACGAAGCGAAAGAATGAGCTGGAGGAGAAATTGAAGCAGCTGAACTTGCAGCTGGATGAGGCGGACAAGTGAGACTCCAGCAGCTGGAGAGCTGAGGTTGAAACTTTTAGAATGAACGTGACGAGCAACGTCAAGGTGTGTGAGCCCAGAGGAAGCTGGAGAGGAACTTTACAGGTCCTCTTCCGAGACCCCCTGGGCCTCTTCCTCCCGTCTCTTGTCCTGCCTCATGCTTGACCTCGTGAGATCTTCGTACTCCTGCTTCACATTCCACGACCTCCCAGGGAAGTCGGTCACTCTTCTCGACTCGTTGAGCACCCGCGCCTTCGCCATGGCCACGTCATCTGCGAGCTGCCATGACTGCTGGGACTTGCCAGGGGCTGCTGCACCAGGCTGAAGGATGCCGGGCGATGGCACGAAAGGAGTAGCTTGAGGCTGCGGCGTCTGCGGGAGAGGGACGTTGGGGACCGGGTTAGTCCGCCCATCGGCCACGGGGTACTGCGCCATGGGGTACTGCAAGCGGTGGCGCTGGGTGAGCTGGTGGATCCTCTGCTTGTCGATGAGGCGACGGACGAAGCGAAGGTTCTTGTCGCTGGCGGTGTGGGAGGGAGCGAGGGAGATGGCCTGCAGAAGGATCTCCTCGGCCTTCCTCAGGAGCCCGTTGCTGCAGTGAACTACCGCCAAGTTGCTCATGGTGTCCACACTGTGAGGCTGCAGGGTGAGGGCTCGCCCCAGCATCTCCTCTGCCTCAGTGTCGTTGCCCCACACTTGCGCGAGAAAGAAGCCGTAGCTTGTCAGGCTGGCCACGTGGTTGGGCTCAAGGCTGACTGCGAGCTTGAAGTTCTTCTCGGCTTCTTGGCACAAGCCTTCGCACGTCTGCTTCACCTGATGGTACGTCTCCTTGGTGATGTTGGCATGCTCTCTCAGCGCCTTGTGGTGCAGCACCAGCCCCAGGTTGTTCAGAACACCAGGGTTTTGAGGCTCCAGCGCCAGCGCCTTCCTGTAGTATTCCTCTGCCTCCTCAGTGTCGTTCCGATACAGCCACTGGATGTTTCCCAGGTGCATCAGGGCCTTCACGTGGACCGGGTCGAGCTGGAGGGTTCGGAGGTACATCACCTCTGCTCCCACCAGATCGCTCCTCACGTTCTCCAGAAAACACGCAAACTCGAACTGAAACTCCGGGAGGAAGGGGAAGCCGTCGGCTGCGCGGTTGTAGTACTTCTCTGCCATCCTCGCGTCCTTCCTCCGCTCGAGGAAGATCCTGGCAAGGGCGTTGGTAGCATGCGAGTTCTCAGGGTCGGCGGTAACGGCTCTCCCAAAGAGGTTCTCCGCTGTCTCCCAGTCCTCGTCCTGCATCTTCACACCCAGCTCGTACAGGGCTGAGCTGTGCGAGGGATCGACACTGATGGCGGCGACGAAGTAGTTCTTCGACGTGTTGCTGTCATTCTTGCAGTCCTGCACAAACTTTCCGTACTCGTAGAGGATTTCCGCGTTGTTGGGGTTGGCTCGAAGTGAAGTGACATAGACGGCCTCTGCTTCCTCCAAATTCCCGTCCATGACGTAGGTCTCCGCGGCCCCCTTGAGATACTTGCTGCACTCGGGCTCACGGATCATCAGCCTCTTCAAGATCTTGAGGGCAGAAGCGCTGTCATCCCTCCTGTCTCTCAGGAAGATGGCGTAGTCGAACAGGCAGCCGTTGTCTCCGGGAGCGAGCTGCAATGCGCGTCGGTAGAGAATATTGGCTCCTCCATAGTCTTGTTTCGCATCCTCCAGGAACCTCGCGAAGCAGATGGCCGCCTCTCTGTTGTTCGGGTTGGACTGCACGGCTCGTGAATACACTTCCTGTGCACCATTGATATCCTTCTTGACGAAGCACAAGGCGCTGCCGTAGCCCATGAGCGCTTCAGGGTCTGCAGGAGCAAGGTTCACCGCACGGGAGAAGCAGTCAACGCAGGCCTCGTCCCTTCTCTCCACCAGACTCTCGTCGTATGCTCCATACACATTCGTCTCCGACCGTCGCTGCACATTCAACCAGCCCAACCGCTTCCAGGCCTCCGGTCTGTCCGGCTCAGACTCGGTGGCACGGTCGAGAAATTCTTCAGCCACGACGACGTTGTGCCGGATGTCCTCGTAGATCACCGCAAGCTGCAGGAGCGAGGTGTAGTCAGTGGGGTCAACGGTCAGCAGCTTGTGATACGACTCGATGGCTTCATCGACGTCGCCATCCTTGAGACATTCGTTTGCGAACTGCATAATGTTGTCGAGGGTGAGAACTTCGGGCAGCTGCCTCCTCCTCTTGAAGGTCAACCTCTGATATTCCTCCTCTTCCTCCTCATCCTCATCGCGGGTGATCAGAGCGAGTTGGGTTGCTTGTTCTCGTTCTTTCCTCTTCCTTTCCTGGATCTCTTGCATCTTTCGCTCCTGCTCAGCCACCTGTGCTCGCTCCTCTCTCATCTTCGCTTCGATCTCTGCTCGAAGATCCGAACCTCCTCTCACATGCTCAAGATACTTGAGACACTCAGCAGAAGACCTCGAGGTCTTGAGGCAAATCCTAGCCTTGCGTAAAGTGACAACAACACCTGCTCTCCATGCTCGATAGGACTCAAGATCGGGATGGGAGCTGATCCGATTCCAAGTAGAGCAGAACTCCTTTGGCACCGCATGTGCATCGCTCACATGACCATGACCTGACCCCTCGATGCACAGACACGACATTGCCAGCACATAGTACAACACCTTCATCCCTCGTGCTCAGAGGCTGGCCAGAAACGTTCACCCCGCTAAGGGTTCACAAGCGCCTCAGCATGAGCGCTGAAGCCGAGTCTGTGCCTCCCTGCTTCTCCTTCATGTTTTCAACTCTCCCATGTTTCTGATGTCCTCTCTGTCGCTCATTGCAACATCATATCCTGATCCCCTTCCCTTGTATTTCACTTCGCTTTCCCTCTTGCCTCCTTCTAAGGGATCCCTCCTATGCTGCAGATTGTCCTTGCATCACTCCCTCTCCCTTCTTCTCCCTTCCTCTCCCTTCTTCTCCCTTCCTCTCCTTATCTTCGCCTCGGTTGTCATTGCATTGAGTCCCATGCCCCCAAAACCACCCACCCCCCTAGCCTACCCCCTCACCTCATTGATGTCTCGTCACCCCTATGTTTGATAGAATTTAAGTGGGTAGGGGTGTGGAGACTGTGGATGGAATCGAAGGATCGATGCAGGCGCAATGGGCGAGGAGAGCGAGCAATGGCGAGGGCGAGGGCGGGAGAGAGGAGGAGGGATCGAGGAAGGGAAGTAGATATGAAGAGGGGATCCAACATAAGGAGCTGTTGAGCATGGTGGAGAGTGTGAAGGTCAAGAATAGAAGAGCAGCGAAATTGAGCAGGATAGGTGAAGGTACAAGAATGTAATCGACATGTTGGAGCTCGTGGCATCGGAGAGTTGCAAAGTTGCTTCAAGCCATGTGATACTTCTCACTCGTCAATTCTTAGGTACATCGCATGCAGTTCGCTCCTCCGCCTGCTTCACAGACGCCATTGGTCGCCAACGCGTTCGGATATCTAGTTCCAGGCAGACCGCCACAGTACAGCGACAGCTTTCAACAAATCGAACCTGCGAAATGGAGCATCGACATCGACAACAGCCAGCAGATCAGGTGTTGTGAAGATGTGATCATCGCTGGAAGCTCACTCGGATGGCAGGGACGTGGTGGTCTTCTTGACTCAACCTCTGACGGTCGCGGGGATGGGGTTGAGCTGCTACATCACGGGGCCTCCTTTCGAGAAATGGCATTTCATTGGCGCTCTTACCAACGAGTGTCCAAGTGGAGTGTTTCGCGTGAGATGGCCGCCAGACGAGGGAGCTCCGACAGCAGCAAGGTACGACACGGAGGTCGTTGGATCATCGTTTGTTGCTCTGACTGTCACCTGTCACGCTCGCAGACTAGGGGTCTCCATCGAGAGCTTGGATTTGATAGCACAACAGCAGGCGTCTCTTCCTGGAACTGAACTTGTAGATTTTGGCAAATCGGTCTGATGAATGCATGCATGAAGGTGCTCGAGCTCTCCTCACGTGTTTCTCAGGTGGCGAAGGATCTTTGGAACTATCTTACGAGCTTTGAGATCATGCACCAGCAAGGGCAATTTCTCCTGCAGTACTTCGATGCCTGGATGAAGCGCTTCGAGGAGAAGTGCGCGACCTTGCGGAGCATCTCGACCTTGACCTGACTTTTGCCTTCAGGTGCAAACGAGATCCTTTCTGGTGGCTCAACCGCGTTGACTGATTGTGGAGATTTCATTTGGGAGAGAAGCTGCGAAGGAGAGGGAACAAGAGAGGGTAACTTGCTCTCACTAGCCAGAGCTAGCCGAGCGAGAATCGTGCTTGTCAAAGGGTGGCAATCAGACTTGGAATGGGCGTACCTTGTTGAATGTAATCATCTACACTAGCTGCAGCACAAACTCGAGCCCAAGGTGGTCACTTACTACCGTACCATCTTGACATCTCAGATCGACAACCTGAACGCAGACAGATATGTCAGTCTTAGTGCGAATGAATGTACAGGACCTCCCACCTTTGCGTCTACCAGGTCCACACCAGACACAAAAGCGTGATCTATCGCGCTCGCAGCCTTCACCTTCCTCCTGTCTCCTTGTCAAGCCCACCATCAGAGAGGGAGCTTGCAGGCACACACACCATCCCAGCAGCTTGCGTGTTGCTCGTCGAGTCGCCTTCGACTCGCCACCGCTGAGCGACGGGCCATAGATGTCGATGAGCGGCATGAAGATCTTTTGGAGGTCTGCATAGCCCTCCCCGTGGTCCTGCGTGTCGCCCAGAAGCTCAGACATGGAACAGGGTCAAGACAAGGACCTGAGTCTTGCGGCTGCAGACGTTGAAGTCGCCGGCAATCACGACCGCAGGATCTTTGCTTTCTTCGCTGCGGTAAAGTCTATCCAACACCTGCTCTTTGATTTGGAAAGCCTGGCGACGAAGTGAACATTCGTTGCAGCGTGATAGGCAGCACCTGAGAGGTCGTAAGCCGCATTTTCTTAGACTTGGAATCCATGTGAGTGTTGACAATGGTCAAGATTCTGTCATTGGACAGCTTCACATCCGTTCTGACGAACCCCTTGACGCAAATCCTTTCCGCTGTTTTCAGGAAGGTTTGTGAATCTGTTTTCCCCACGACGTCGACTCTGGAGAAGGTGCACAAACCGCTGTTCTGACCGCAGAAAGGAAGAGATGATCGAGGATCTGCTCCCAGAGTGTATCCCATCATTCGCATCCGAGCGACAAAATACTCGAGGTTTCGTGTAATGGCGAAAGGGCCAACCCTCAAGAGGAAAAGTTCCTGAACCATGACGACATCGTATGCGTTCTGAGCAATGGCATTGAGAAGACAGTCGAGCCTCCTCTTTGCAGAAGGAGCATACCATTGCTGTAAGTAGTGACACCAGACATTGTGGCTCAGGAATTTGACCTGGTTTGTGGCCAACCACGATGGTTCGAACATCTCCTCTTCTTTCTTCCCCACATCGATATAATCGTACAAGGGGAGTTTGATCTGGGTGGAATTCTTGAAGCCTACATACCGAATGTCCAAGAGCTTTGCCAGGATGACCTGAAGAAACTTGAAACAAGCTCAATCAGTGTCAAGGTGCTCCCTACCGGTACCAGGCCCACCACCACGAAGAGGCCTTTGTCAATGAAGAAGGAGCCGTCCAACGAGAGAGGGACGCCACCTGAGGAGATAGAGGTCAAACAATGAGCCAACAGCAAGAGAAAGTTTGACCATGGGAAGGAAGTTCCTGAGCTCCCGCCGACTGCGACATGCCAGGCGTCTGCTCTGCTCAAGAGGGATAGTAGTGGATTCAGGATAGCAGGGGGAGAAGAGAGCAGGTCGGGAGAAGAGAGCGCGGCAACGAGAGAGGAGGAGCCGATGATGATACAAGGGCTATCAGGAGCAGGAGAGCAATCTGCTTCTTGCATCGTGTCTTGCTGCCATGAGCGAGAAGCGCCTAGTCGCTCTGCCCGACATTGCGTAAACCCTGGAGGTGGGGGCCAAGGTGGTACCTCAAGGGTGGTATATACTTGGAAAGTGGGTGGGGGTTCAATAAAGGTTGAAGATGATATCATACAGCGATTATTTATATAGTGTTGTAATAGTAAAACAGAGGCAAGTAGGGAAGTAGTCATCCAAAGAAGAGAATTGATTTTGAAAATCGAGCAGGGTGGGTAGTAAGAGGTGGGTAGGAATCGCGCAGGGCAGCAACAAGAGATAGAGGCACAGGGTAATCGTGAGTTAGGAAAAGAGTGGGGTGGGGTAGTGAAGGAAGTTGAAGAAAGTAAGGGGGTGGGGTGGTCCAGGCTGGGAAGGGCATGCAGAAGAGGAGCGGCGCAGGGAGGGAGGGAGGGAGGGAGGGAGGGAGGGAAGAGGGGGCTGCGAAATTGTTGAAAAGTTTCGGAGGAGAGGTTGATATCTACCCAAGGAAGAAGATGAAGATGAAGAGAGAAATGCAATGAGGAAAGAGAATATGAGGAAAGGAATCAGCTGCAGGTGCCAGAACCAGGAGCTGGGAAAGGGAACATATTGAGATGTGGTAGGGGCAATCAGGAGGAGATCAAGAAACGTATCGGCTAGTAGAAAAATCGAGAGATTAACTAGAGAATGTCGGACGAGAGGTGCAGAAATTTCCTGCATGACGGCAGTGCCTGAACAGTGCAAATGTAAGCGCTTCAAACCACCTCGGTGGTAACGTGTCTCTCACTTAGGTAACGCGCGGACCGCGGACAGTGGCATTATCAGTAATACTTGCGCGATCGTTTGGTGCTGTGGGCGGGTCAGCTCGTATCTGCCTGGTCCTTGTCCTCGTAGGTAAATCCTAATATTCCTCTCTGCCACCAGGAACTTGTCTGACCCCCTGCATGAATCTCAAGGTGTTGTTGGCGGTGCTGAAACAAGAGGCAGAGCAAGTGCAGTCTTCTCCAAACGTTCGAACCCGCCATTGAGACAAGGAGGATTTGCCGCCACACAGCCAGCGATGCAAGTTCCCATTGTCTCCAACGGGGGACAGGACGGGCCGGGAGATCAAGTTCAGGATAAGGAGAAGCTGTTCCAGTTGGTTGCTGATCTGTCGAGGGAGGAGACGAGGGAAGCGGTTTGTTTCAGCATGAGGGTACGGGGTGAAGATTCTGATCCCATCCTCAGGCGCTGCTAGAGCTCTCCAAGAAGAGAGAAGCTTTCCCTGACCTTGCTCCCATTCTCTGGCATTCTTTCGGTAGGAACCCCACACCTGCTGTGCTGGTCTCACGTGCTGGGCAGGAACGACAGCGACTCTGCTGCAGGAGATCGTCTGCATCTACCCCTTGCTCACCCCTCCCCAACTTACCGCACATGCTTCGAACCGAGTCTGTAACGCTCTCGCCCTGCTTCAGGTCGTTCCCTCCATGACGGGGCTGGAGACGAGTTGACCTGTCTTTCAGTGTGTGGCATCACACCAAGAGACGCGGACTCTCTTCCTGAAAGCTCACATCCCGCTCTTCTTGTACCCCTTCCTCAACACGGTCTCCAAGACTCGCCCGTTCGAGTACCTCAGGCTGACGAGGTTGGCGAGGGCGGAGGTTCGACGAGACCGGAGGGTGACTGATGGGACGCAGTCTCGGGGTGATCGGAGCGCTGGTGAAGATGGACGACTCCGATGTGATCAACTTCTTGCTGACGACTGAGATCATTCCGCTCTGCCTTCGCATCATGGAGGTGAGAGGAGGGGGTTAGCTTCTTCTGCTCCATCGGCCTCACTCTCGCTCAGACGGGCAGTGAGCTCTCTAAGACGGTTGCAACTTTCATCGTGCAGAAGATTCTTCTCGACGACATGGGGCTGCAGTACATTTGTGCTACTGCTGAGGTATTGCTTCCTCCCTCTCCCTTCTTCACCTTGCGTCCCTCCCCTCCTTTGGGCAAACAAGTTGATTTCAATTCTTTCCATTCGTAATGCTCCGTCCATCCTCTTTCTCGTTTCCCCTTGCTTGTGTTGCGTAACATTCTCTCAGCGTTTCTTCGCCGTTGCAAACGTGCTGTCGAGCATGGTGAACGGGCTCACCAAGGATCCTTCTGTTCGCCTCCTCAAGCACATCATCCGATGCTACTTGAGGTTGCGACTTGACTTCTCCCATCAGAGCTGAGAAAACTTGTCAGACTTTCAGAGAACATGAGGGCACGAGACGCGCTGCGCACATGCCTGCCAGGTTTGACATGGGGGGACGTGAGCGTGAGAGTCATTGCGCTATGCCAGAGCAACTCAAAGATCCAGCCTTCACCAACTGCCTTCGCGACGACAACAGCACGCGCCGGTGACCTGCTCTCACACTCTCATGATATGACGTCTCCCTCTCCTTTTGCTTCTCCCTCCCTGTCTCTTCCTTTACTCCCCATCAACCTGTCCATTCATTTTTTTTTGCCCCCCCCCCCCCCACACACTCTCCCCCCTTTTCCTCCTCCTCCTCCTCCTCCTCCTCCTCCTCCTCCTCCTCCTCCTCCTCCTCCTCCTTTCCCCCAACTCTATTGTTTTTACTCTTCGATCTGACCCCTTGGCAGTTGGTTGTCGCAGCTTCTCTTCACGGTGGGCAATCCAAACACTCATGAGGCTCAGGTTGAGTTGTGATGCCAAGATTCGAGGAAATGAAGAGTTTGCTGCAGATGCAAGCTCCAACGCTGTCACATCAGTAGCACTGCGCAGCAGATGCTTCAAATTTGCATGCTGAAGTGAAGGAATTGCTTGTCGATTCAGACAAATAAAACCTCATCATGTCAAATGCTTGTTCAACGAATTTCATTTATATCTATTTCAGCATTGGTAACCAAAGGAAATGTACAAGCGAGCTCAAGCAAATGTACAAACAACATTATTAGCAGTCAGCGTCATTTCTCAGTGTCTTCATCATGTAAGAAAGAAACTGCCATAAGCGTCAAAACCTCTTGGTTATTAGTAACACTAGCAGACCTTTTCTCTTCAGGCCCTTGCCAGACCCGCTCGACTCCGTAGACCTGAAGTCGAGTAAGACTTGTTCCAACTCCCGCCGCTCTCTCGCACTCACTTGATAAGCGACAACACGGCAGCAGCAGCAGGCGTCTCACTAGACCTTCCTCCTGCTCCCTCCTCCTTGTCCTCCTTGGCCCTCAACAGCAGGGAACCAGCGATCTTGCTCAGAGACGCGTCAAGGTGCTTCACTCGGTTCGCGACCGCATCAATCTTCTCCGAGCGGCTGCCGAAGTCTTCGACGTCTCTCTTGACTTGCTCCTTGGACGAGACAAACTCCTTGCGCAGCGCATGAAAGTCGAACCCTCTCTGCATCCTGCTGAGCTTCGCCTTTCGCTTCCTCCTCCACCACAAGGAGATGATGTTGACAGCGCACTGATGCAACCTCACCCGCGCCGTCTCGCGCCCCAGCACTCCCAGAGCTGTATGCTCGGAAGAGGAGAAGGTGATCAGATTCCCCAGGGCCGCGGCTGCGATCGACGTCAGCAAGATGCCGAAGAGCATGGCGATGGCAGCGACGCATCTGCCGAAGTGAGTGGTCGCTATGGTGCCGTTCCCAGCTCCCGGGGTGATGGTGGTGAAGATGAACCAGCAGGCGTTGAGGAAGTACATGTCGTTGAACTTGTAGTACTCGTCGCCGTTGATCGACCAGACCTTGGCCGTCTCGCTCTCACACCTTACGTTCTTCACGTTGGGGAAAAGACACGCGGTCGCTTCTGCATTGCGAAACAGATACCCCCCGACAAAGACCACGAAGGTCCACAGGAACGCGAGGTAGTAGATGGCACTCCAGCTGTTGAGCATGCGCTTGAGCACGAAGGAGGTGTCAAACTTGACGCCCGTGAAGGAGCCGATCGAGTGCTTGCTCGGGATGTCACTCACCATCCAGTCCGCGATCACCCGCCACAACAAGTAAACCCGAATGATGTTCCATGAGCAGAAGACAGTCTCTGCCTGGTAGAGCACGTAATTGCCCATCGTATTGCTTCCCAGCTCAAACGTCGTGAAAGGCGGCAGGTGGAGGCCGACGACGATCATTTCAACCCACAGCAGAGGATCGTCGAGCACGTGGGAGACGCTGATGATGTAGTCGAAGTGAGCTCCGTGATGAAGGTGCTTGACGAGTCGCCTGATGAGGACTTGAGTCCAGTAGATGCGGTAGATGAACACCTGCTACCAGTCAGCAGCAACACATGAGCACAACCAGCCTCTCACCAAGCACCCCACCGTCGATAGAGAGCTCAGCCCCTTCATCACGTCCATGGCGGGCGTGTGAGGCTCCAGCCCGGCAAAGACCAACTCGTTCTCTACGATTGCAAAGAGAGTGCCGAGCATGCCAAAAAGAGCTGCAAGCATCCGATTGCGACGTAACAAGTCGTCCACCAATTTGCGATTCTTCTTCCAGTCATGTTTCGCAGGCATGAAATCTTTCATGATTGCTATCAGACTTGAAAGTTTTCGCTGCATCTGCACGGCCGAGGATCTCCTTCTAAGTCGGTGGTGTTGCGGTTTGGTTTGCGTCTTGGCTTCAGTCTCCATCAAGAGCTCTTCAATCTCTTCTTGGCACTGAGGTCGATTGCATTCAAGAGGAAAGATCCGGCACTTCAATACATCAGATATCTCACACAGTCGTTTGGTCTTAGCTACGATGAGGTCTAGCTTTGATTTCTCTGCCATGCAGTCTTCTGTGTGAACATTGGCTGCATTCTTTGTTGTTTTGAAGATCTGTTTGAGCTGAAACAAAGAATCTTTCTTGTTTTTCTTGGCGATCCCTTTCCTTGCCATCAACCAAGCCTTGAGGAAAGTAGCGGAGTGTTTCGACAAGTTCTTCCAGGCCTTTTCGCGGGCGACCATGAGCATGGCCGACTCTTCTTCAGCTGAGAACTGCAGGCGATGCATGAGAGAGGAGGTCAGCATCGCCACCATCACCAGCCCGATCACCGACGTCATGGCCGCCACTATCCTTCCAGCGTGAGTGGTGGAGGTGATGTCTCCGAAGCCAACGGTGGTGGAGGCTTGGAACATGGACCAGAGGGCGTTCTGGAGGTAGGGGTCGTTCACCTTCGTGAAGTAGTTCGGTTGCCCGCTCAGGGAGCCTGCTCCGAAGTCGATGATCCACCTCTTGGCGTTGTCGTTGCCGCAGTTGGGGTTCTTGCTGGTTCCAAACTGACAGGCTGTCAGCTCCACAGCTCTGAACCAGTACCCGCTGATGAGCAAGAGAATGAGCCAGAGGATCGCAATGAAGTGAACCGCGTATCTGCCGTTAAGCAGCAGTTTGATGGTGAAGGCTGAGTTCAGTTGGATTCTTGTGAAACTCGCGACTGTGTGTCTTCGTGGGAGTTTGCCGAGCACCCATTCTCGAAAGCAACCCCAGAAGAGGAACACTCTCAACACGTTGATCGCTGCTCCCAGCGTCTCTGCCCGGTACACAAGGAAGTTGTTCCAGTTCATCATGGGGATCTCAAACGTCACAAAGGGAGGGATGTGAAAAAGAATAAAGAGCGTTTCTGCCCAGAAGGAGGCGTCCTGGAGGATGCAGCTAGGGGGCACATGGATGTCCAGCTCGTGAAGGATTCGAAGATGTCTCAAAATGCGACTGAAGAGCTCATCGAGCCAAAATCGTCGATACAGAAAGCCTGCACAACAACGAGGTCAGAGAATCACAGGAGAATACCCTTGGAAGAGAGTGTCTCACCTATCGCTATACATGTAAGAATGGTGTTGATAGCCTTGAGAGTGTTGACAAACACGTGCTGCGGATCAGTTCCTCGAATGATCAACTCATTCTGGGCGCAGGCAAATATGGCTCCAGTGAATCCGAAGATCGCTGAGTTCAAGTTGCTCCAGTACATCCGGACCTCCACTTTGTCTCTGCTCCGACGCCAATCGGAGACGAATGCTGTTCCCGCACCAGACCCAGCGCTCCACTCACCCAGACTTTGTCGTCTCGACCCTCGACGACTGACCCCAAGAGCCTTCAGCTTCTCCTGGACTTCCGAATGAAGTTTCATCATGCTGTCCCTGCGCTCCCTGTTTCTTTCTAACTTCTTGGAGTCTCTTTGCAGCTCGAAATCCAAGTCTTCAGACTCAACTTGGAGTTCATCGTCTTGTACCGTCTCAACGAAAGGATCGTTCGCCGGTAAGTTTGGATCTTGAAACGAATTCTCTTTGACAAGCAAGTCATGGTTTCTAGGTGAGAGGACCTGGACAGTGTCATCACTGCTGTTGGACCCATTCGCGGCGCTGGCGGCTGAGTTTGAAGGGAAGAAAGGAGTGCTCAATCGAGACATCACCCCTCTCGGTGCTGTCCATGTCATTCGCCTTGGACGGTCTGCGCTCTTGTCGTCCTCCTTGTCACCGCCCTCTGCGTTGCTGACCGCATTGGTACTCATTCGCTTTCCATAGAAGACGGAGGGCATCTTGAAAGACTCGTATCCGTTGCTTCGCAAATTATGAAAACCAATCGATATGATTTACGAGCAATGGTGGGGTATGAAATCTCATGAATTAGACCTTGCAAAGCTACATGTGAAAAGCAGCAGAGGAATCAAAATCCTCGACGCCCTCAATGGTATTGAAAATCCGAAAGCTGTTCATGCTGCAATGGTAATCTGATTTGTTTGATGTTCTTCCTGGCCAAATAAGCTTGATACAAGTGCTTTCTGAGTCCTTCAGTGTCTTCTTTTACTTCCTATGGATCTCTTCCTTCCCGACTGATTTGTCGTTTGGGCGTCAACCTCTTCTTGCTCCTGCTCCTATTCGTGCTCCTTTGCATGGTAGCTTCCCTGGCTCTTGGTCAACTTCCCCATTGTTCTTCCCATTCTCCTGCTCCTGCCTCTGAGCCGGTTTGTCTTCTTCTGCGCCTGCTTCTGCTATGCCACAGGATACTTGCGCTTAAACTCCAACGCTAGGTTTGCTCTGGCTCCTCCAGGACTTGACGTGACTGTTGCTGCTCTCTCGCGTTTCCCTGGCTGCATCGACTATTACTGACATGGAAGTTATTGCTTGTATAAGTTTTTTAACGCACTGTACCCCCACCAGGAAATCCGGACCCACCCCTCCTACTCCATGACCTACAACCGAAAGGGCTCGATGGATGGACCCTTCCCAGGGTCCCCAACCCGCAGGCTCTGATGAGTCTGGTGGTATCAGCACTACTACACCAGGGGGTACCAGTAGCGCGGCAGTCCTCTATGGCCCTACCTATTCTCCCAAAGGCACTGTACGGTACAGACACGACCTGGCAACGAGGGTGCTACTTCCGGAGTACCGGTCATTGGTCATAGCAACTACCCCTCAGGGACCCTGGCGATCACGCAATCAGAGCCCCAAGTTTACTAACCCTACCCCCAGCTGTTACCATACAGGGCCTAGCCTTTTACAATACAGGACCGGGTACTGTAACCTGTGACTACCAGGGTGGCCAACTACCCCCCACCCGTCGGGCAGGCCGAGTGATGAGAGTAGCCGGGCTCACAGGCTGAAGGCTTTGCAGTTTAAAAATGTTTAGTATACTTAAATAGTTTTACGTGAAATCTTTGTGATGACCCCCCCCGAGCCCCTCCCAGAGTGGGGTCGCGGTACTCACTGATAGAGACATATGACGGTTGAAAGAAGGGGTACTGAACTGCTGACAGCCCGAAGTAAAGTGAATTCTCTAAAAGATTCGACCAGGTACTAGAGTACAATTTTATAAGCCAGTATCTCGTTTTTGAATCCTTGTGAGTGCTGCTACCACGGTAAAATACTCATTCACTCAAAGTTAAGTTAAAAACCAGTAAATACTCGGTTCAACCTACCAACTTCGTTTACTCAAAGTTAAGCCTGAAGTTCAATTTCGAACCCAGTGGTGCAGTGCAGGATCAGTGATGCGTTGCGCTTTCTGTGGTGGCTGGCGGATCGCTTGGCCGCAACAAGGAAACGACAGCAGCAGTCCGGTCCACTGGATCTCACTGTTCGTCCCGCCGCACAGCGACATTGCTGGCCCACGGTGGCCGGGGCCGCCCGGCGGCATGGCGCGCCGGGGGAATTGTCCTGCAATGTGCGCACGCCCGGCCGGTTACTAAGTGAAGGTATCACGGCGGCGGTCTCAGGCCGGGCTTTCTTTTCTCTTCTCCGACTCGGCCGGCGCCGTTTGGCCTGTGCGTGCGGCCGCAGTCTGAGGGTCAAGGCCTCACTGACTGACAGTGAGTCATTCCGAGTTCGGACCGTGGACTGGCAGGCTCCTGATCCGATCGGATCCGATGATCAGTGTCCTGGTACAGCCGGTGACTCAGTCTTTACTTAACTTTGAGTAAACTTCCGGGCCACGGTTGGGCCGCCGCCGACGGTCACCCGGTGACAGTCAGTCCGAGGCAGGCCCGGGCCGGGCCGACGGTGCCCGGTACCGGGTACTCGATGGCGCGGGCCTCGGGTCCCCCCCCACCCCCGCCCGTCCCGGCCCGGCCGCCGCCGCGCC